CATTTATGTATTTAACCATTCACAGAGGTAAAATGTATATAGTTATAAAAAATTTTTTCAAAGCAGCAGAAGAAAATTGGACTATTTAGTTGGAGACAGGAAAGGAAAAAATTTAACAAACATATAGTAAAAATAATATATAAAATAGAATAGAGATTGACCCTAATGCTACAGTGTCAACAATAATTTTTTTTTTGTACTGGAGCTCAAACTCAGGACCTTACAGTTTATGCTTGCAAGGCAGGTGGCAGCACCACTGAGCTAAATCCCTGGCCCACAGTATTAACAATAATTTTAAATAAAATGGTACTCATTATATGCAAAAAGCTAGTAAATATCTACATAGCAACTCTTGGTCTTGTTTCCTAGATTGCAGGGACGCTCCTGAAATGGTAAGATTGAAAAGATATACCATGTAAATATGAACCATGGAAAGGTGGGGTAGCGATATCAATGGCTTATAATAGCCAGGTATGGTGGATGGTGGCATGCGCCTATAGTCTCAGTTACTTGGGAGGCTGAGGCAGGAGGATCATTTGAGCCCAGGAATTTGGGGCCAGCCTGGGTAACATTGTGAGACATCTTGTCTTTCAAAAAAAAGCAGCCAGTGTGGTGGCACACTCCTGTCATCCCAGCACTTGGGGGGCTGAGGCAGGAGGATTGCTGTGAGTTTGAGGCCAGCCTGAGCTACACAGGAAGACCCTGTCTCAAAAAAAAGGCTAATAAAATATAATTTAAAATAAAAACCATCATATTGATAAAGAGGGATCGAATATATGGCAAAATGGTAACAAACACATATGCACCTACCAATAGTCAAAATATAGAAAGCAACAACTTCAGCATCATGAAATCCTGTCATTTGCAACAGTGTGGCTGGAACCACAGGACACTGTATTAAGTGAAGTAAGCCAGACACAGAAAGAAAAATGGAACACGTTTCACATCCACAGAAGCTTCCAAGTTGATCTCAATAAAGCAGAGTGAAGACCCATGGTTACCGGAGCCAGAGAAGGCAGCAGGTGGAGGAAGAATGGAGAGAGAATGGTTAATGTGGACAGTGCATCTGAGTGAGGGGAAGAACTCCTAATGTCCACAGCACAGCAGGATAACTATGGTGGACAACAATATTTCAAAAGAGCTGCTAGAGAGGATTTCGAATGTTTCCAACATAAGGAAACAATAACTTTCTGAGGGGATCCATGCACCAATTACCCTGATTGGCAGATGGTGTCGCACACCTGTGTAATCCCAGCCCTTGGGAGGCTGAGGCAGGAGGATCACTGAGTTTGAGGCCAGACTGAGCAACATAGCAAGATCCTTATCTCCAAAAAAATTACCCAGATCTGATCGTTGCACATTGTACATATATACTGAAATGTCACGTGGCATCCCGTAGATATGTACAATTACTATGTACCTGTTAAAAATGAAAATCTATTCTAACAATGAGCATTTGAAACAGAAAAGTTAGTGTACAGAAAAGATGTCTTTTTTCATTTACCTTGTTCTCTTATACATTTAATTTTTTTCTCCAATGAACATATATAATTGAAAGTTTTCATTCATTGCTAATTCATAAAACAAAACCTCGACACTAAAAAATATGTAAGGAGCAGGCAGCGGCTCATGCCTGTGTGTAATCTCAGCCCTAGAGAGGCTGAGGCAGAAGGATCATTTTGAGTTTGAGGCCAGCTTGGGCTACATAATGAGACTCAAAAAAAAAATATGTGAGGGCTTGGCATGTAGGTCATAGTAGAGCGCTTGTCTAGCACGTGTGAGGCCCTGGGTTCAATCTCAGCACCTCATACCCCTAAAATCTTTGTCTATGTCCACATCTACCTTCCTGTGAGGACTGTGTTTGCAGTTGGAGGTTTTAGTGAGACCACCTCCTCGGGAGGAGAGCTCACATAGAAAGGGGAGAAAGCAAAGCAAGGCGAGTATACAGCTGAACTCATTCAGTTAGTATTCCTTCTCTTTCTCCCTCCCTCCCTCCTGTGCACAGCGGTCTCCCTGGAAAACCGCAAGCCTCTGGAGCTCAAGGGCAGCCCTGATGTCAGGCATGTCATGGTCCTGCTCCTGGTGGGACAGTGCTCCCAGCCTGGGCAAAACCCTCACAAAACCAGCAGCCAGGCATGGTGGCTCCTGCCTGGAATCCTAGCACTCAGGAGGCTGAGGCAGGAAGATCACAATTCAAGGCTAGCCTGGGCTACACAGTGAGAACCCGTCTCAAAAAAAAAGATCCTGGCAGTGAAGGTCTCAGGTGGTTCCAAGGCCAGGTGAGCCTTCACTTCTTGGGTCCTCTCCCCTCCCATCTCCCATGTCCTTCTCCCGAGGAAATGACTGCTGGGATGGCCTGGCAGAGCCTCCCAGACTGGCCCCAGAGGACAGCGTGCAGGGCATCAGGAGGAAGAGTTTGAAGCTGTAAAGTTGCTCAAGGCCGGCCTAGCCGTGCCCTCCAAGAAGGTGCGCACTTGGCCAGACCCACACAACAGGCTGCTCACCACCGTGGATCACCAGGGGACACACACCCTGTGGCAGTGAGACAGCCCCGCCCACCTGTCGGGACGCCGCAGGGCACAGCCCAGTGGTAGCGCCTGTCCGCTGGCACCAAGCCCTGAGTGCCAACTCAGCCCCGCTAAACAAACAAACAAGCAAATAAGTAAGTGTCAAGGATGTGAAGAAATCAGAACCCCCTGGCACTATTGATGGGCATGTAAAATGGTACAGCTGCTGTGGAAGTCACAGCAGTGGTTTCTTAAAAAGCAGGATTAGGGCTGGGGATTTAGCTCAGTGGTTCTGGTGCCTGCCTCGAAAGCACAAGGTCCTAAGTTCGATCCCCAGTACCAAAAAAAAATGAAAAAAAAAGCAGGATTATGCAGTCTCCAGTAACTCTACTTCTGTCTTCTACAAGATTCAAAAGCAGAGACTCAAACAGGTATTTGTGCACTTGTTACACAGCAGTGTTCAAGATGTGCCAGCAACCCACACATCCATGGACGGATCAATGGATGAACAAGTATGGTGCATCCCCGCAGTGGAATATTAGCCCTAAAAGGAAAGGGAATTCTGACTCAGGTATGAACCTGTCCTAACTCACATGAACCTTGAGGGCATGACGCTAAGTGAGATAAGCCAGCCACCAAAAGCCAGACGGAGTGTTCCACAAACCCTTGAGACAGAATGCTGCAGGGTGTCATGGTGCGGGGGCTGGGGGGTTCTGGGGACACAGTGGTGATCGGCGTGCTCTGTGTGACGGAACTGTGCATGAACAGTGTGGCGATTTCTGTGATGGGCCTTTACCACTAGCAACCTGGAGTAACGTTGCCTAAGAGGAGGCTAAGGTTCGGACACAGAATCACTGCCACACGTGTCCTGGTGTGGTCGCTGGGGGAATGGGGGCCACCGTGGGCTGGATGGGCATGTGGATGTGGATGTGTGTGTGCGTGTGTGTGCATGGGTGGTGGCAGAGAACCAGCCTGGCCTGTGCAGCCCCAGGCTCCAGCCCCAGCGAGGGTTTGGTAGGGATCCTTTAGTCTCTGATGGAAACGGAAAGGGAAGAGCTCGGCCTCGCGGGTGAGGACACCTCCTCATGTCTGCGGGGCCATAGGAGGGTCTGGAGCCCGGCTGTGCTCGCTTACACTCGGACACACATGACTGTTGCATGCAGGTGGCTTCTTGCCCACCACTCGCCCCAGGACGGTGTCTCTACTGAAAGGACAGTAGAGTCACTTAACCAAGCCATGCTCTGGGCCTTAGTAGCGGGGGCAGCTGGGCCTTTTCAGGCCAGCAATTCACTCCTCCTTAGCCACCTCCAGCCTTGCTGTGCGACCAGCAACCCTAGGCCAGGAGGCTGAGGCAGGGCAGCTCTGCAGGCAGAAGGGCTCTGGCTCTCAGAACCCAGCAAGAGGGGGAAGGGGCCTCACGCCCTGTCAGGGCTCAGGGGCAGCAGTGCAGAAGAGCTGTGTGGGGAATTCCATCCTCTTCAAGACAAACTCGGTGCCTGCTCAGTCCTGACATCTGTGTGGCTATCAGCGTGAGCCCTCTGTGGGTGCTGACCAGGCCCCTGCTCTGGGGCCCCGGCCAGTTGCCCCGAGATGGCAGGGATACAGATAAGCGCAATTGCACCTGGACTCTGCCCCGGGGCAGATGCAGGCTTCTTGGTGTGGCCCATGCATCGGGTCGGCTGGGCCAGCGTTGTCCCTCATGAGTACCTCCATCCTCGGTCTACATCCCAGTCCCAGAGAAGAGAGGGATTCTGACTGCACCCCGGGTGCCAGGAGGGAAGGGGGCAAGGGCCACCAGTGTCCTGGGGAGGTGCCCTGTGCCTTTGCTGTCTTTCCAGCCCAGGAGCAGCAGGGGGGCTCCGAGAGCCGGCAGCTGGTGCCACAGGAAGCTGCAGCTACAGAAGGGACCCAGCGGGGACAGAGAGGAAGGAGGGTGGGGCCTGAAGCCCACACAGGGCCCAGGGACAGAGACCTCTCCCCTCCTGGGGGTCCAGCTGGCAGCAGGGAGAGCTTGGGCAGCCCAGTTGGGCCACATCTGTCTGTGCCTGCAGAAGGAAGGCGGAGGTCGCAGCGCAGCTGGGCTGAGACTATGCCCTGAGCGATGAAGCCTTCTCTGGGTCAGTTCTCACCCTGACCCCGCCTCCCGTAAGCACCCAAACCCCAAGCAGACGGTGATGGTGGACGACATAGCAGCCCTGGCAAACTACTGTAAAACCCTGGGAGTGGTATCAGCCTGAAAGATGCTGGCTTGGCCTACTACCAACACGCATCCTTCCTCCTCTTCCTCCTTTTTTTTGGGGGAGGGGAGTGGGCAGGGTCTCTCTATATAGTTCAGGCTGGCTTCAGCCATCCTCCTGCCTCAGCCTCCTGAGGGCTGGGATCACAGGTGTGCACTAACCACCACACCCGACTTCTCCTCCTCCTTCTTTTTCTGGTACTGGAGGTTGAACCTAGGGCCTGTGCCCTTAGCTGCATCCCTGGCCCTTTTTATGTTGAGACAAGATCTTGCTAAGTTGTCCAGGCTGGCCTTGAACTCATGATCCTTCTGCCTCGGCCCCTGGAGTGTGTGCTGCCACCCCTAATCCTTTCTTTATCAGCGGCAGGGTCTAGGAGTTTCCAGGGAGGACCAAACTCCTCAGCACTCCTGGTGCTGCCCTGGGAGCAGTAAGTTTCTAGGACAAAACTAACATCTACTCTTTTGTTCATTCATTCATTCATTCATTCAGCAGACTCCTCGTTGGGTTCCAGTTCAGGTGTAGGTGAAGCTGGGTGTCCTCCGTGCGCTGGCAGGTGGGCCGGATCCCTGTCCCTGGAGGCTCACTCCTAGCAGAAGGTGTCAGGACAGCAGGTGGCAGTGGAGGGGCCCTGCCCTGCCTGGCGGGGAAGAAGGCGCTGCTTTGAGGCGAGGCTCGGCCCTCAGCCGAAGACAGCAACCTTGTGTTTAAAGTCAGGCCACCCCGGCGCATCCAGTGAGTGCTGATGCGGGTGCAGGGCCAGGCCGCTGACTGCAGGGACAGCAGCCACATCCCCATCTCCCGTCACAGGAGACGCTGTGTCACCACTGTTCTGTGGATGACAAACTCAGGACAGTTGGTGCCAAGAGGGACTTGGAACCGACAGTAGAGTGGACTTTGGCCTTGGGCTATGAGCTGGCAGTGAGGCCCTCGGCCCACAGCTGTGGTGAAGTGGGCTATGGAACCAGTAGAAGGGATGCGCCGGTGCAGCCTGGTCACTGTGCCCTGTGTCCAGTCTGGGGCCACGGCGGCGAAGTCCCCATCTGCAGAAAGTCCCGTCCCCTGTGGCCTTGGTTTCCTGGGAGATGAGGAGTGGGGGACAAGCCCTCGAGCCAGGGAGGGGTCACGTGGGATGGAAGAGCCCATTATGGATGAGGGCAGAGGGGCTCACAGGTTTTCTGGGTCCTGCCCAGCCCGAGCAGTCTGTCTGATCCTCTGGGTCCCCCAGGCCACGGCATGTTAGCGTGAGGACCTCATCCTTTCTCCTCTGCCCACAGCCTGCCGAAGTCCTGGGCTCAGGACCACAAACCTTCTCGAGGAAGGAGCTGTAGGCGCAGATGTGTGGCCTGTGGGGCCACAGGGCCAGGTGGGCACTGGACCTCCTGAGTTTCCTCCCCCAGCAGCCCAAGGCAGGCACTTGCGGAGGAAGCGCAGGCTCTGAAGGAGAGAGTCGTCTGAGGTCATGAGGCTAGTGGCAGGGCCACGTCTGGGACTGAGGAGCTCCAAGCTGGGCTCCTTGTGGGGCCTGCTCAGCCCGAGACCAGGCAAGGAGGCCTGGGCACTTCGACCAGGGCAGTGGGAGGCTGTACTTTATTTTTTGTTGGTTTGCTTTTTATTTATCCATTCCACAATGAAAATGGTTAATGACTTACAGTGCTTTAAAATTCAAATTAGACAGTTTAAAGAAATGGAAAATAAAGTTTAAAGAAAGTAAAAATTACCCCTAAATCCCACCAACTGGAGAGAGTCACTGTTAACAGTTTGGTGAACAGATTTCCAGACAGCTCCGTGTGTGTGTGAGTGTGAGTGTGTGAGTGTGTGTGTGTGGTTTATGTTAATGGGAGCACAGACTGTTTTATAACCTGCTCTTTTTACTCAACAATATGTCGCAGAGTCTTTCCAACTTGTAAATGGAGCTCTCCCCTTCCCGCAACGCCTGCAGACTGTCCACTGAGATGAAAGTATAGACCAGCTTTTTGTTGTCCAACACAGTACTGAGGGGCATTCAGATGTTTCTAGTATTTTGCTATTCTAAAAACTCAGCCAGACATTGTGGTGCAGGTCTGTAATCCCAGCACTCAGGAGGCTGAGGCAGGAGGATCACCCAGGAAAGGTTCACTTTCTGTCCCCAAAAGTTCAGAGTGGGAAGCAGCAGCAGCAGGACAGCTCCAGTGACTGCAACAGCGTCATGTGATACAAAGACAAGGTCTCAATTTATGCCACAGTGTCGCTAAGTTGACCTGGCTTCATGATGATGGGGCTGACAGCAGGGTACATGGCCTGTGTGCACTGGCTTGCAAGACCCAGCTGTGACAAAGGGCTTCAGTGACCACTGGGGGCAGCCCCAGGGCAGGGGAAGGGCAGGAGCCTTGGGAGAGGGCAGAGGGGCCCTGACCCAGACCAGTGGGCCACCTGCTCAGCTCCCTCTGGGACTCAGCTTGCCAAAAATGAGATGTGGGGGCTCATTTTGGAGGGATGAGGCAGTGGGGGGCAGCGGAGATGCCTGAGGATCGGGTACCGGGAGGCTGGGGACAGAGGCAGCCTGGGTTGTTGAGCACCTCGGGGCCAGGGAAGCAGCCGGTGAAGAGCTGGGCCCGGCTGGCTGGAGGCTAGAGGTGCAGCAGATCCTGACTGCTCCCAGACCTCAAGGCTATGAGCCGCTGCTGGGGATCTGGGTGGGGCAGGCCCTGGGGCACCTAAGACAAAAAGGGATTCAGCACAGAGAGTTTCAGAGTCCACACCTCTCCAGGGTGTGGCACAGGGCTGTTCGGCTTTATTTTACTTCAGAAACAAACCAACCTCCCTCAGCAGCACACACCAGCAGCAGCCCCTTCCCAAGGCCTGACAATCAGCTGTTGTCACAAGTGGCACAGGCCGCACACACTTCTCTTTCCACACATCTTCCGTAACAAGAAAGGGTATCAGTCATCAGGAGAACCCGCGGTAAAGGCTGGGCCTCCGAGGCCTGGCTCCTCTGCCCTCGCAGTGGGGTGAGGGGTGTCCCTGCGAGTGACCAGAACTCCTCCGGGTGCTGCCTCCTTCGCTGGTGCCCACAGGTGGGGGCGAGCACCAGGAACCTGGCCTGTCACTCGCATCCCTGAGGCCCCCCGCAGATGGAGACACAAATAGCTCCAGGCCCACGCGCCTCCCAGCCCGTTAACAGGGCTGCTTGCTCCTGTTTCTTCTCTTCTTATTTATTTTTTCAAGGGAGCAAAATTCAGAATAAGACCTGGCAGTTCCGGAAAACTTTTTCTGGCTCCTCAGAGAACCATGGGAAACTGGACGGGAGGGAGGCCTTGCTGCTGCCTCTTACCAGGCTGGGACTCAGGGACCTTTCCTCTGGACACGGGAGGTGCGGGGGACTGGGGAAGAAGATGGCGCTCACCCCAACACCTGGCCTCACCCTAGCACCCAGTCTTCCGGCTTTGGTTCCTCTGCCCGGCTTCTCAGGGGCCCTGAGAGTGAGGCCTGGGCCACCTCCTGCTCCCAGTCTGGAGACCACGTGGTGACACTGTGCAGGAGCAGGCTGAGGCAGTGGGGTGCCACCATGGGGCAGGGGAAGAAGACAACCTTCAGCTGAGCCCAGAGGCAGAACTATGCCCAGAAAGTGTAGGTGCAGCTCAGTTCCCACCAGGCAGGGCCGGCTCAAGGACTGTGCCCCCCACAGATGGGCTTAGGCAGGAGGTGGGGTCACAGCGCCCAGCCTGGCATCAAGACCCTTGCTTGGAAACTTCCGCTTTGGCAGCATTTCCTTCCTCCAAAGGTCCCTCTGGGGCTGCATCCTCACAGCGTGGCTCTGGGCAGACACTGGTGTCTGGGGCTGGGGGGTGACACCGTGCTCCTCCGGGGCCCAGCTGCGGCCCCATCTCTAGGGACCTTCCTTGACACAGCGTCCTCAGGAGGGAGGTGGGACCGGAGCCCTGAGGACAACGAGCCCAGCGGGTGTAGGGGCTGAGGCCAGCCCGTGGCATTCACACCTCCCCGGTGCTGCACAGCGGAGGGGCCTGTGGGAGGCCACCCCGCTGTCTCCCCAGCAACTGGTCCAGGAGGCTACGAGTAGGAGGCTGCAAGTTCGGGGCGCTGAGCCAGCTGGGTGGCGTGACTGGGCCGTGGGCCAGAGCTGGGGGCTCGGGTGGGGGGCGTGGCTTCTGCACTCATCCTGATGATCGCAGGGCTGTGAGAGGTCCTCGCAGTCCCTTCCATCACGGATTCTCCAGGCTATTCCTGGCCATCTGCAGTCCCGGGAGGCAAGCTGGCCAGGGCTGCTCTCAGAGGCGGCTTGGGAGGATGAGGCCAGCAACGAGGGGCAGCAGGAGCAGCCAGGAAACCCCGGGGACAGCGACTGGTGTGAGGGGAACAGTGGGCTAGGGCAGGGACGCCTGGGTCCCCACTGCCCCCCACCTTCTACTCTGTCATGCTGTTCCTTTCCCTCCTTTCTTTTTTTTGTACCGGGGATCGAACTTGGGACCTTGGGCTTGCGAGGCAGGCGGTGGCACCACTGAGCTAAATCCTGGCCCCTCCTTTCTTTACATATTCGTTCATTTCCGAATTATACCACATGCATGTTTATCCTGTTGCCTCACATCCTCTCTGGACTCCCCTTTTTAGCATTTATGCTCATTATCCATTTCTACTTGGGTGACACGGCCAGTGTCCCTGGGGGAATTGTCACAGCCTCCCTGGACACTGCACCTCAGTTACCTGTGTAACGGAGGCCCGTGCTCTGCGTTCCCAAGGCCTCCCATGCCCCTTCAGCTCCCGCCAAGTTTTTGGCTGAACTGCTCTGAATGGTGCTGGTGCATGTGCCAGGAGCCCACCCTGGGGCTGTCACGCTGCCCGCCTGTACCCTACCTGGGCCTGAACACGGCGGTGTCAGGAGCCCCTCCATGGCTCTCACGTAGTCAGGCCCCAGCCACCCGAGGTATGTGCTCTTCTCCGCGACAGGAACCAGCCGGACTGTAACGTCCTGGAAAAGCAGGTCTTGGCCTCCGTATTTGTAGGAGTCAAACATCTGGAACCCGTTCTTATTGTTGTCCTCTCCGTACAGCTCCTGGAAGCACCACAGGCACCTGCTCTTCATTGAGCCTTAGAGGTAGGGGACCCAATGCCAAGTGACCTCAGGGTGCCAAGCCGGATGGTAGTCCACCGCTTGACCACTGTGGGCCTCTGTCATCGAACGGTGTGGAGAGGAATGTCCAGAGACACCACTCTGAGAGTCATTCAGGAAAGTGACACCAAACCAGTTCTTTCTGGGGTGCAGAATGGAAGGGTGCAACTTGCAGGAGGACAGACACAGCAAGGAGGGTGCGGATCCAAGGGCTGAGTGCTTTGCTTGGCCGGCTCTGCATTTCTCAACCCTTCCTATAATGCCTCTGCTACTCTCTTTGCTGGGACTCTTTGGACTGAATGTCTATGGACAACCCTAAAAAGAGACTGGAGGGCCGGGGATTTAGCTCAGTGTTTCCAGCCCCTGCCTCACAAGCGCAAGGTCCTGAGTTCGATCCCCAGTACCAAAAAAAAAAAAAGAAAGAAAAGAAACTGGAGGTAGCAGTCCCTGTTCTCTGTAAACAAAGGACATCTAGAGAGAATGCATAGTCACTGGTCAGCTGCTAGGTCATCATAGAATAAGGAAGGAGAACTGAAGGGCTGTCAGTCTTTTTGCCAGGGACTCACACATTGGTCCTCTTGAAGAGCTGATAGAACTATTAGCCTTCTCCCCAGAGAAATGCACGTCCACATGGACTCTTCCCACATTGTTTCAGAGGCCTTAGGCCGCCCCCCAGGCCTGGAGGGTGGAAGGGCAGGGATAGAGGGACTTTGTAGGGAAGATGAATTCAAACTTTAGGGCGAGGCCCAGAGAGCCAGGGCCTCTGCAAGTCTGCAGTGCTGGCGGGGGGAGGGCACAGGAGGGGTAAGAAACCAGGGGCTCCTCAGACAGCCCGGGTTCGGGTTCTACATGTGTCTTGGATGTACAGCCAGCAAGACCTGGCCAGCTGGATGCATGCAGGTGTGGGTCAGAGGTGGAGACAGACACACAGGAGCTATCCGTGTGTGTGTGTGTGTGTGTGTGTGTGTGTGTGTGTGTGTGTGTATGCTATGTCACGACACCAGGCTGGATGCTCTCAATAAGGTGGTGGATGCAGACAGAGAACAGGGCTTTTCCAGGCCAGCAAGACTACGGGGGCCTGCAAAGGAGACTGAGGTGGAGAGAAGCCAGGCCAGCACAGGCAACTGGAACCACAAGAAGGGATTGGAACTCTGGGAGGAGGGGGCTGTGGCCAATGCTGCCCAGGGGTCAGGAACAGGACCGAGAAGTGGCCACCGGCTTTAGCTGCATGAGTAACCGTGACCTTGACAAGGGCCTGTCCCAAGCAGTCTCTGTCCTTGAAAAGGACCAGGAGAAGATGGTACCAGGGCAGAGACGACGCTTTGGAGGAACCTTGCTCTAAAAGGGAGTAGGATTATGGTTACAAGAGGATGTGTGGCAGAGAGAGCTCATTTGCTTTACACAAACGGTGGGAAGAACAGTGTATTTGTGTGTTGGTGGGAGTGGCCCTGTTGAGAAGGAAACATGGCGCAGGAGACAGAGGGGTCAGTGCAGGAGGATGGACCCTGGGCAAGGGAAAAGCACAGAATCTTCCTCTGGGGCCCCTCAGTTTCCCCTGAGGCTGCTTCTGGTCCACAGTGGGCCCCTGGGAGGCTTGGCTCACCACTGCAACCCTGCCTCGGTGACCCCAGCCCTGCTGGCTCACCTGGGCCTTGTCCAGGAGTCCGAACACAGGAAAGGTGTTGGTGTCAGGCCGCACCATGACGGCGTGGGCCGGGACCTTGGCCAGGCTGCAGGCTTGGAACTGGTGCACCTCCGCACGTGCCCCATTGGGGCACAGTAGCTGGTAGTCCTGGTGCCTGAGCCCAGCTGCCCAGGGCTCGGTCGTGTGGCCTGGGGACAGTGTGGGGTGGGGAGAAGTGTGAATGGAGTCTCTGGGACCCTTTATTGTCAGTGACAGAGGCATGCCAGGTGTGGGAGAGGAGTGGGAGCTTGTACTAGTGGGGAGAGGGGAGCACCGCCTCCATGACTAGAGCTTTGCAGCCAGGAAGGTAATATAGGGCAGGCATTGTTGCCTCCATTTTACAGATGTGGAAACTGAGGCCCTTTACCCCTCCCAGGTGAGGAGCTGTGTCTGTGTGTTATGCCCTCAGGCCTGGGCATGGAGAGTGGTGGTTGATTGCACCCCTACACATTGAGCTTCTCAACCTGGAGGCGGAATGGCAACACCTGTGGGTGCAAAGGGCACCCCAAAAGCCCCTGCTTGCCAAGAATCTGCGCTTTAGGCCAGCAGCCCAGTGGTGCTGAAGCAGGTGGCTGGTCCCCGGTTTCCTGAGCAAGGCCGCCCTGGGGAGTCACATAGTTCCTGCACCTTCGTGCATTCACTCAGCATCTGCCCTCTGGCTTCCAGAAGGTGCACCAGGTGGGCTCTGAGTAGCACTAAAGATAAAGGGGCCAAGCGCCCAGGAGTGGGGGCCTCGCTGCAGATGAGTCTCCTGGGATCTGAGTCTTGAAATATTGATGTTTCCTGCTGCGCATCTTACTTGCCCCGACTGATACCAATGCCCTTCCTGGCCACAGGTCTGGGGTGTCAGGACCGAGTGGAGGCCAACAAGGCCCCAGCATATGGGGTTTCAAAGCCTGGTTGGATAGCAGGAAGTCTGGGTGCCAGGTGTTGGGGAGGAGCCTGTAGCCTTAGAACAGACCGCAAATGGAGTTGGGAGCAGGGCCAGCTTGGAGGCTCGGCAGCAGATGGGAGCTCGGAGCTCAGTCTGGGGTCCCGGGACAACTCTAGGGAAAAGCCCGCCTGTGTCACATGTCTGGGGTGAGCCCTGCCCTTGCCCGGAGTCTTCCAGACTGAGCTCTCCCCACTGCTGCTCTGGCCCCCAAAGCCAGCAGCACCTGAGGCATAGATTGTATTGGGGACAGGAAACAGCCCCCCATGCCTGTCTGCACTCTGGCCCCTCACGTACCGTTTGTGTTGTCAAAGACAGTCGTGTGCTTCACAAAGGCAATGTCCCCTGCCTTCTCCGTCAGGCACCTGCCAGCCAAGAGAGGGCAGGCAGGTGTCGGAGGAGGGTCCCCGTCCTGGGGCCGCCCCAGGTCCTCCCTCCACCCCTGCCTGCTGCTGCGTACCTGAAGGCCCCGCTGTCGCCGAAATACCTCTCCTGGCTATTGGCCACGCACTTGTTTCGACCTTTTTCATCCCCCTCGCAGATAGCGCACAGTGAGGATGGGTATTTCCTGGCCTCGCTCCCGGGCACACAGCTGCCATTGAAGACCTCGCTCATCCCTGGCAGAAAGACAGCCAGGGAGAGGTATGCCCATCAGCCTTTGCTGGCACTCCCTCAGTGACCAGGGACTCACTGCCTTCTCAGTTACACTTTTCCTATGGAGAGACATGGTGGGCGACTGAGGAAGTCTGGTCTGGGTCCCTCAGGGACTGTACCTTGGATCACATTGCAGTCCCGGGGCCGGATGGAGCCCGTGTAGACGAGGGTGCCCATGGGCACAGTCCAGCCGGCGGGGCTGTCCACACTGGGGTGGCAGGAGCGCTTGCCGCGAAGCTCATTCAGGCTGAAGGCTGAGGAGATGTCCCGCCTCACCAGGGCCACGGCGTAGTACGAGCTGCTACTGTTCTCTGAGGGCACAGGGAAGTCACACAGGGGCCGACCCTCCAATCCGTTCCCCCTGCTTCTTGTGTGACCTGCTTCAGTGGTGACCTGCCCCGGGGGGCCCAGGCTGAGGCCTCAGCTGCTCAGGGCAAGGCCAGCAGGTCCCCAGTCCCCGAGAAGTAGCCCGGGGCTACTCTGCTGTCAGCCTCAGCCCTCACTCCACCCAACAGCCCTTGCCCTGGGCCTTCTGTCCCCTTATAGCCTGAGAGCATTTCCCTCAAGGCACAGAAACCTGCAGATTTTCTCTAAGCCTGGAGATCGCGAATAGCCTAGTAAAGGGACCAGGTCAGCCCAAGGTGGCCACTTAAAAAAACAGAGGCCAGGGCCAGGGATTTAGCTCAGTGGTTCCGGCGCCTGCCTCACAAGTGCAAGGTCCTGAGTTCGATCCCCAGTATCAAAAAAAAAAAAAAAAAAGACGGAGGCCAGGCCATGCCCAGGCCACTGAGAGGTGTGAAAGAGCTGACAAGGGAGGCGACAGGCCCCTTCCCTGGGGAGAAACCAAGGCTGCCCCAAGACTGCGTGGGGGCCCACGTTTGTCTGGTGGTATAGGGTCAGGGGACTGTAGACAGGAAAATAGAATAGGGGCCTCATTAGGTCTCCTAGCTAATCCTGACTAGAAGGAGTTAAAAACAAACTTTACTGCAGAAATTTCTCTGGAAACAGGTGAAAGACAGGGCTAGAAAAAGAGAGAAAAACCAGATAAACAAAGGCACCAAATGACCTAGGGCCTTGCACCAAGAGGCCAGAAAAAGAGCTGACAGGCAGGACACAGAGAGAAAACCACGTGCATAAACGATAAGCCGCCCCCACCTCCAATAAAATATAGAAAAAAACAAATGTGGGGGCTGACTAACTTTAAGGCAGTGTGTACTCCCACTATGCACTAAATATACACTGTATGCATGTGTATTCACTCTAGAGTCACCGTATTACTCACTCCAGGGCCATTATAGGGTACAATAGATACCCACACAGCCCCGGACAAACGCCAAGCTAACCACGAATGAGAAACCCCCTTGCTGACCAGCTGCCCGGCCCAAAGATAAGGCCTTGAAAGGTAGGTCAAGGACAAGTAAACAGACAGAAAGGAGCTGCACGAAGACCCCCGAGGACATGACGTTAGACAGACATGCCCGGAAGCCAATCCAGCTATGGCCGGTTCTGTGTTGGGGGGAGAGCCCCTGACCCCCCTATAAAAGCAGCTGGGAACAAAGGGCCCAGGGGTCCTCCATCTTTCTGGAGCCCCTACCCTGATTCTTTCTTATCAGGGTAGCCATCTACCTTCTCCTTTCCTCTCTCTTCTGTTTCCTCTTTACAAATAAAGTGTCCCCCTTTTGTTAAACTTTGTCCCTCTAATATTTTATTGGGACTGAGTTCATGATCCTGGTGTATTCTTGCCCCGCAGGACAGCGGTACTCTTCTGCCAGATGTGACATCTTTGGTTCCCTGACCAGGAGATGTGACAGTGGCCTGAGGTGCAAAATGGTTTATATATATATTTTTTATTAACGGGACCACAGGGCTTGGGAAACTTCCGGTAAAGTGTCTGTTAATATTTTAGGCTTTGCAGACCACAGACAGTCTCTGTCATGTTTTATTTTATTTATCTTTTGGTACTGTGGATTAAAGAGTCTTTGCACAGAGCTACATCCTTAGCCCTTTCTTAATTTTTTATTTTGAGTCAGGGTCTCTCTAAGTCACTGAGTTGCCCAGGCTGGGCTCAAACTCAGGATCCTCCTGCCTCAGCCTCCCAGAGTGTTGGGATTATTTTTTCTACAGGTGTTCCCTGCATAGATGGGAAAATTGAGGCCCAGGACAGAGGGGTTTTCTGGTGACAGAAGGCAACTAGCCTAGGGGGAGAGGGACTGGGGAGGGCTGGAGCTCCTAAAAATGGCAGAGGGGACAAGTTTTCCTGTTTATAAGACACCAGCCACCACCTGGCATGGCATTTACCAGTATAAGACTCCCCGGCTGCTGGGACCAGCCCAAACATCTTCCCTGCCGTGTAAATGTCTTCACCCCTCAGGGTCACAGCGTCGATGTGTCCATCCTGGAGGGAACAGAGAGTGGCCGGGATCAGGATGCTTTGGACACTGGGGTCCGATGGCAAGGCCTGTCCCTGGGAGGTGGAACCTGTCCTGCCCATCCATCCCTCCCTCTGCTGTGGAGAGGCCTGGCCTGGAGGGAGGGCTGAAAATGACCAACAGGGGCACTCCTGTCCCTTTTCCGGGCCCAGCGTGTCACCAGGCCTGCCTCGTGCTGGGGCTGGGGACCCATGGCTGCCACCCTGCAGAGGTCTGAGGGGCCATCTGGCCAAGGGCTGGTGCCTGGTGTGAGTGGGATGCATACTGGTTGGACATATGTGCAAAGGAAATAATGGCCCGGGTCTTAAAAGATGGATGTTTCAGCTGCTGGGAGTGGTACACGCCTGCGATTCCAGTATTCTGAGGCAGAAGGACTGCAAGTTCCAGCCCAGCCTGGGCAACTTAATGACTTAGGGAGACAATGTCTCAAAATAAAAAATAAAAAAGGACAGATCTGGAGTCCTCCAGGTCACCTGCACCCTTGTCCCTTCTGAAGCCTCTGGACAGGTGGCCCGGGCTCTGCAAAGGGCTAACTGGTAACCTGGGGCAAGGCCAAGGAGCACAGAGGTGGGCCTCAGGAGGTGCCCATGCCCCCAGCCCTGAGGCAAGAGAGCAAGGGTAGCAGAAGTGGCATGGTGTTCTGAGCCCGGAGGGTGCAGCTCTGGGTTCTTCCCCTTCCAGACCTCCTGGGATGGACACAGAGTGGGGACCACAGCCATGGCCCTGCCTGGAAAAGGTCCCTTTCCTGGGTCACAGAGCAGCTTGGAAATGGACGTTGGAGCCACCAGACACTGTCCCCGAGGCCTTGGGAGCCTCTGAGATGCTCTGAGCCGTGCCTCTCCTTCCTGGGCCCTGAGCAGCTGCCAGGTGTCATGAAGTAAAGAGCCCACTGCCTCCAAGGCCCCTTTCTTCACATGGGGTCAGGGTGCAGTGTCAACTTGATTGGCTTGGGAATCTGCCCTGGGGCCTGTGTGTGTCTGAGAGGGTCACAGAGGGTGTGGCCTTGGGGTCAATATCTGCTCTCTCATCCCTTCCTCTCTGGCACTGCTCCTGGCTCTGCTTCATGGCTGCCATGAACTAAGCAGCTTTGCTCCACCAGACCCTTCTGCCATGCTGTTTCCGCCTTGGAGCCAGCCAACTATGGACTGAATCTCCTTAAAATGTGAGCCAAACTCAACCTCTGAAAGATGTGAGCCCATTCCTGCTGTGTGCATGGGGACACCGAGGCTCAGGAAGGGCAAGGGGTTGCGCAGGCCACAGGTCTGCTCCTGACCTGCAGTGGTTCCCCCCTGACCTGCAGTGGTCCCCCTTTCTCTCTGGCCTTTCACAAGAGACAACCCCTCCCTCACCCTGCACTGCCCCTGGGTGTCCTCGGGCCACACCAGCACACCTGGATCTGTGTCATGCACTGCAGTGGGGAGTTGGCCCACACACACTGGATTTCCGGCTTGAGCTTCTGCTGGTTGAAGGCCATCGCCATGTCGCCACACTTCCGGAACTCGGGTGTGGACAGCACGCACCAGCGTAGGAAGTGGGGTAGCTCTGTTCAGGGGTTTTGTTCAGAAAGGGTTAGGGTTCCTCTTTCATGGGGCTGTACAAGGCTGCAGTGTTTCCACCTCAGTGTCGGCTACCCCATGTCCCTGGCTATTGGAGGGGGATTTATGGGGCCAGGGGACTGGAGACAGGAAGCCCGCATTTTAGGTGTGGGTTTGAGACAGTCTTGCTAGGTAGTCCAGGCTGGCCTAGAACTCCCGGCAATCCTCCTGCCTCAGCCTCCGGAGTGCTGGGATTACAGGAGTGCACGTCCACGCCTGGCAAGGGCAGAGATGCCGGCTCCTTAAGCTCCCAGGGAAGTGAAGTGGAAGTGACAGGTTCCCATAGAGCCCCAAGATATCCACCTGGGCCACCTCCCCAGAGCCCTGGATTGGCAGGAGCAGGGACAAGGACTCACGGTTGGGGTCGCAGAGCAGGCCCTTCATGGCGTGTAGGAAGTTGCGGCCCAGCCATGCCTCATAGGTCTTCGTACCGATGGGCACCAGCTCCACAGTGGCATCCTTGAACAGCAGGTCCCTGTGGCCGTAGCTCTCTGAGCGGAACATCTGGAAGGGGCTGCCCTCATGGTTGAACAGCAGCTGCAGGGCAGGATGGCAGGGCAGCTGGTGAGGGTGGTTCGGGTGCAGCCTTTCCTCCCCACTGCAGCCACCACCACCACGTCCCACCGCCTCAGGCCAGGCGAGGCCACTCAGCCCCTCTCCTCCCTGCAGCTCCTCTAGTGGGGGCTCTGTGCAGCCCACCTGCTCCTCACACCCAGCCTCTGGGCATAGGACCTGTGGCCCAGGCCGAGCAGGTCCTGGATAGGCAATGCCAGGCAGGAGCGAGAGCCCAGCATCCGGGGGTGGACTGCGGTCCCAGCTGCAGTCAGAACCGCGAGCTCACGGTGTGCCCTGGGATGCTCCGCATCTCCCTATGTGCTCCTGTGCTCTGGTTTGGGTCTCCAGAGACTCAGAATGGAGAGGAGCAGGGGGTGTTCTGGGACACCAGGCCCCGTCTTTGCCCTGGCTCCTGCCCTGGTGAGTGGTGAGTGGCAAGCAGGAGACACCTGAAGCTCTGAGTGGGGGCCCATCTCACCTGGCCCTCGCCGAGCAGTCGGAAGAGGAGTTTTTCATCCATGTCAGGCCGGACCACCACGGCGCTTGCGGGCACCCGGGCCAGGTGGCATTGCCGCCACTCCGTGACACTGGCACGGCTGCCGTTCCTACACAGCAGCTCAAAGTCCCGTGACAGCAGAGCCTTGTCCCAGGAGGGCAGCGTTTTCCCTGGGGGCCAGAGAGGGAGGTGAGGTGTCCTGGGGTGAAAGCCCAGCATCACAAGACCAGGTGGCTATGCACACCAGGCCTGGCTCTATTTTTGTTTGGTTTGGTTTGGTTTTGTGAAACAAGGTCTCACTATGTAGCCCAGACTGGCTTCAAACTCACAGTGATCCTCCTGCCTCAGCATTCTGAGTGCTGGGATTACAGGTTTGTGCCGCCATATCTGGCTTCTATTTTCTTTTTTGTTTCTTTCTCTAATCACTTTGAATCTTGTTAACTACATCGCCGATAGGTAATTTTCCATCCTACTTTTTTCGCCATTTATGTCTCTGATGTGTTTTCCACGGTATTGGAAACTTTCCACAAAACTCATTTGTTTCGTACAGAAAAGCAAGATTATTTTGAAAGCGTGACTATCAACATCGAATAGGAATATTAGGAAGACTAATATTAAGGGCTGGACTAAACCACAGATGGTCCTACAGAATGGTATTTTTATGTCTTTTAAAATAAAATGGGAGAAGGCCTCTGCTAGGAAGCAGGAAGGGAAAGATAATGTGTGAGATTATGAAAGCTTTTTACTCCAAAGCTATTTAAAAAATTCCCCCCAGACAACAGAAATAAAGTTCATGTTTTTGTTTTTGTAATACTGGGGCTTGAACCCTGGGCCTTTACGCTGAGCTACATCCCTAGCCTGTATGTATGTATGTATTTGTGTGTATGTATGTATACACATATGTATGCATATACGTATGTTTGCATTTATTGACAAGGTCTTGCTAACTCACTAAGTTGCCCAGGCTGGCCTTGAACTTGTGATCCTCCTGCCTCAGCCTCCTGGAGTGCTAGGATAGCAGGCATGTACCACCATGAGTGACCACAAAGGTCATTTTTAATGGCTGCTCAACAGCTTATAGGACTCTTTACAATTGTTCAGTGCAATTCTCTCCCCCGCTCCTCAACTCTTCTCTCTTTTTTAAAATGTTGCAAACCCTTGCACAGATCTTTGGCTCGAATGAGACAAACACATGGTCACTTCGGTCTTTCCATTTATCACTCTTATTTCTCATCTGTGAGGAGCAAAGCCCTGTTACTTCACTACTTTAGACACTTAGGTCAATCTCACTCTCTTGCTCTTAGCAATTTTTTGGCATAAAGATATTCCTTTAAAAATTTACTTGCTAGCCAGGTGTGGTGGCACAACCTGTAATCCCAGCACTAGGAAGGCTGAAGCAGGAGGATCGTCATGAGTTTGGAGGCCAGCCTGGGCCACACAGTGAGTTCAAGATCAGCCTGAACTACACAGTGAGACCCTACCTCAAAAACCCAAAAGAAAAAAAATTACTTCCTTAGGTTTCCTTAGATTACCACAAAACTTTAAAAAAGCGGACCCCAGCCCAATACCTATTCTTACACATTTCCAGCTCTCCTGTCCTTGACCCATTCTGGGGCTGTGACTGGGTAGCCTGGGTTACAGGACTGTCCTGCCCTGGAGGCATCGTGTGCCTCACCCATTTTGGAGATGGCTGTGTCTCCCTTCTCACATCTGGTTCCTGTCTACCTCCCTGAAGTGCAGACTACATTCTGATTTGAAAGGTAACGCTGAACAACAAAAGACAATGATTTTAAAAAAATATCGACAATGATGGGACATTCTGCAATAGGCCAAAGGCTGACAGGTGGCTGGTGGTGAGCAGGGGGTTTGGTGGTAAGGGGATCTGGAGCAAAGGATATGCCTGAATGCCATCTTGCATGTGGCGATGACTCTACAACTCCATGCTTTGGACAAAACTCAGAACCGTACTGCACAAAGGGTAAATTTTACTGTGTATCATCTGTCTCTCACTTAAAAAAAAAGAAACCATCTTCAGGAAAATCCAAATTAAAGGACATTCTATAAAATAATGGGACTGACTCTTCAAAAATGTCAATGATCCTGCCTCGCAAGCGCAAGGTCCCGAGTCTGATCCCCGGCACCAAAAAACAAAAACAAACAAACAAACAAAATGTCAATGATAAAAAAAAATGTCAATGATAGAAAACACAAAGAGCGAGAAGCTGTTGCAGGATGAAGGGAGCTAAAGAGCTCTAAAATCTAAATACTGTGCATGGTTGTAGACTAGGTAATGTTCCTGAAAAAAATCACTACAAAGGGCAGAATTGTGACAATGAGTGGCCTGGAACACGGACTGCAGATCAGACAACAGTACCCGGGGCGATGGTACATTTCATGCATTTGGTCGCCAGGGTGAGGTGCAAGCGGCCCTGTTTTCAGACGACACATGCTAAAGTATTCTAGGGGCTCGGGGCAGCAGATGCGCCCTCCCCTGGGTCAGAAAACAGCCATGCATAGAAAGACTGTAACTCAAGTGTGACCCAGACTGAAAGCTGGAATTTGGGGGAAAGAAGAGATGAGAAAGTAGCAAGGAGAGGCTGTGTCTGTGACTGCAGCCTTAAAAGAAAGTTGGTGTTTCTTTGGGCTTTGAACTTGTTTCTATGCAGCTTCTTTTATTTTTGTTTAATCAAATAAACAAGAGGGGTTTCCCGCAGGGAGGGGGAGAATACATGGGTATGCTTTGAATCTTTTTTATTTATTTGGATTTTTTGAGACAGGGTCTCTCTATGTAGTGTAGGCTGGCCTTGAACTCATGACATTCCTCCCGCCTCAGCCTCCTGAGTGCTGGGATTAGAGGTATGCACCAGCACACTTGGCTGCAAACTTTTCTTTTAAAAAAGCAGACTAATCTTCAAGTGGAAATGGACAAAACCAAGCTACAGGCAAATCTGAGCCCAGCTCAGCTGCTCACTGACCCTGGCCTGCAGAGAGGCTGGGATCCCACAGGGAACCGGGACACTTAGGGACTGGGTGCTCAGGGTCCTCGAATGAGGGTGCCAGGACTCAGATGACACTGAACCCAAGTGCCTGCCCTGCCCTGCCCTGCCCTGCCCAGGCCCCACTCACCGTCTGTGTTCTCCAGCACCGTGCTGTGTCTCACGAAGGCCACGTCCCCTGCCCCTTCTGCCAGGCACCTGTGGAATGATGCCATGAGCCCGTGGGCTGAACTCTTCCTCCGCCCAGTGGAAGGTCTGGCCTGGGTTTCAGCGGTGGCTGTGGGGCACCTGGTCCCCACTTCTGCAGCCTCAGTGCCAACTCCCTGTGGCTTCTCCAAGTTAGGGACCCTTTGGTGCCTGGCCCTGCATAATCAGCACAGGCCAGGCCTGGGAGGGGAGGGGTCTGTGGGTGCTGCTGTCTTCCGTAGCTGGGACACTCAGGGTGTTTTGAAGGTGACCCTGCCCTGACCCAAAAATCCATGGCCATGGGGAGACCATGACCTGTGTATTCTCCGTGTCACTGGCATGGGAGACAGGTCGGCCCTGCTGGGCAAAGCGGCTGCTGGGGACCCCACAGCCAGAAAAGAAGCGGGGACTGGATGGGGGTGGGGGTGGGCAGATGACAGAAGAGCCTGGGGACCCCAAGATTGGAAGGAGGTGCAGATGGATGGGGTGGCGGGGGATGCCGTTTCTGTTCTCTGTGGCCAAACTCCCAGAGTCCCCTGCTCCTGGTAGGGACACTGAGGACAGGGTGGCCGGGGGATTCAGAAACTTCCACTGCTTGTGTCTTCCTTCAGATCCATGGAGGGCTTACCCTAAGCGCCACAGAAATGCCCACCTGCACTCCACCACCCACTGCTGCCCTGCTGGCTGGAGACCCCGTGCAGGGACCGGGCAATGGCCAAAGGGCTGCTTTCTTCCCTCTGAGCAGTCCCTCCTCTACACCGAACTGCCCGGTGCATCTGGGTCTATGTTTGTAAACCACCCGCCACAGAACCTAGGAAGGGCGCTTTGATGCTGCAAATCCGCCCGCCACCCGGGGGCCCCTCCAAGCCCTGGCTTCCCTACCGGAAGGCCCCGCTGTAGCCGTAGTATCTCTCCAGGGGGCTGCTGTCACACACCCTCTTCCCAGAGCCGTCACCCCTGCAGGCGCGGCACAGGGACAGCGAGTGATTGGTCTCTCCTGCACCAGGGACGCAGCTGCCCCCAAAAAACTCGCTGACAGCTGCAGGAAAGAGGCAGAGAGCGGTCACTGAATCGCTTTGTCCAGACCCGAGGTTTAGCGGGAGCCTGGGCTCAGCAGGGACCTGTCTGGGACCTTCTTCTTCTTTTTCTTCTTCTTTTTAAAAGTCTTTTTAATTTTTTGATTCAGGGTCTTGCTATGACTGAAGGTCACTGGGGTAGGGGGCTCATCCTGGGGCTCATTTCCAAGTCAGTGCTGTGGGGTTGATCAAGGGGGCTGTTACTTAATGAGCAGAGGGGACTGGAGAAGAAGAACTCACATTTGTCCCAGCCCAGCCCTGCTTGCTCTTCATCTGGCAGGGACGGCCCCACCTCTTCTCTCTGTGTCCCTGAAGGAGTGGGTCTTTTGCAAATGCACCTTGGGAGGGAGACCACCCGAGAGGCTGTGGCCCACGGCCTTGGGGCTCCTGCTGGTCTACACTGCTGGCCGGCTCGATGGCCATGGGAACTTTCTGGATGCAGCTTGTTTCTTTCAGTAGCTTGTTTGGGTCTCTGTGAATCTCTGACCCTGTGCCCTGCACCAGGGCTGTACCAGTGGGAGCTGCTCCTGCACTGGGCCCTTGTGCCTGGCTATGTCACGTGGCACACGGGGACCAGGAGCACGAGCTCTGCTCTGCAAGGGCCCGAAGAGTGGAGGAAGTGCCACCCCACTGTTGTCAGAGACCCCCCAGAGGAAGTGGGACTCGGCTGCACCTTAGCAGGGTGCAGGAAGAAGTGAGGCCGTGGGGTCTCCCCAGGGGAAGGGATGAGAGGGGCAGAGGAAAGGAGGGTGGCCCTGTGCCGGCCCGAGGTCCTCACCCATGAGCATGTCACAGCCCATCACGGAGAGGCGGCCGCTCCCCACCAGGAAGCCCACAGGCACATTCCAGCCCGCTGTCCGATGGAGGCCCGTGTGGCAGGACCTCACGCCCTTCAGGGTGTTGACGGTCACAGAGGAGTTCTTCCGGACCACAGCCACGGCATAGTAGGAGGTCCCAACCTCTAGGAGGGGACAGGGAGTAAGGCTGCCAGCCCCCCTGCAGGGATGCTGGAGGTGAGGGTGGGCGCTGGGCAGCGCTGGTCTCACGCACCTGCCGCCAGGCCCCGCCAACCTAAGCAGCTTGGTCCTCCGGGGCCGCCTCTGGGTGAGCCACACTCTCTTTCTTTCTACTTCTGTATTTTTGGGTGCTTATTTGTTCTGCTCTCTGAGGCAGAAACGGGCTCTCTTGCTTACTCCATGCTCAACAGCGGGGTTGAGGCGAATGAAGAGGAAGAGCTGTACTGCAGGCCAAGGAGACAGGGCCGTTCTGCCTTTTAGTGGAAAGGCTGCCTTATTGGCAGAGCTGCACTGTGTCCTGCACCACTGGACAATCATTAATTCAGCTCGTGGCCAGCGAGGGCTCCTCCAAGGCAACCCCTGTATGGACCAGGTCCACAGCTGACTGCGTCCTCCGGTCTGCAGCTCTGGCCACCACCTGTCGCCCACCCCCTTCACATGCTGTGGCAGGGAGCACGCATGCTGATGCCCTGGTGCTCAGCGCCACACCAGGCGTGGGCAGGGAGGGCTCAGTGGGCGGTTGGGGGGCTGTTGTGCTCGAGAGGAAGAGCAGGCTTGGGCCAGCTCTGTATCCTCAGCTCTCTTGCTCTGGAGTTTCAGAGACCCAGGGGGACCTCGGAGGGCTTGGGGGCCTGGGGCTCCAGGACAGGGCTCCTGTCCCCAGGGAGCTGTCTGCAGCCGCCCCTCACCTGCATCATACAGCTCGCCCAGCACGGGCTTGAGGCCGTGCTCCTTCCCCGCCTCGTAAATGGCTTCTCCATTGAGGGTGACGGCGTCGGCCTTCTGGGCCTGGGAAGAAACTCGCTGTCAGCCCCTCCCAGCCCCCTGTCCCACTGCTGCGAAGTTGGTGACAACGCCAGAAGGCACCGGGCCTTCCAAAGCCCTGGAAGTCCACACCATCCACCTGGTGCGGTCCTGAAGGGCCCAGGACTCCTCCTTGCTACCAGGCCAAGAACTCACCTTGCTGTAGTAACTATGCTATTTTAAAAAATAAGATTACTTTTCCGCTGCCTACCTTGAAAGCACAAGGTCCCGAGTTTGATCCCCGATACCAAAAAATAAAGTTTATTTTAAATACAAACAGCACAGCCTTGTTCGTGTGTTCTGGACCCTATGGGTAGAGTCCGAGCTCGGCACAGTTGGTTTCTTCCCTGTCCTGGGATTGGGTCAGGTCCTGGGCACCTTGGGGCCGAGCTCCCAGGAGGACCCAGGTCTCCTAGCCCTGGCCCTGGCACCTGTCCTTTGCTGTACCGCCCAGCCTCAGAGATGGGTGGAGCCAGGTTGGGGTCTCATGATACACATGTGTCCCCACCCCACCCACCCACCCTGCCTCGGATCCTCGAAGCCTCCTGCTGGCAGCTCTGTGCACAGTGACTTGCTGTGCTGGGCACCGGGAATCACTGCCACCTGCAAATCAGCCCTTGTTCCTATCACCAGGCCCCAGCTGATGTTGAATGGTGTTGTCACACACTGCCCCTCCCCCAGAGCCCTCCGGCCTGGGCTGGTGGTGGGCAGCAGGGTGGAAGGGAGAGGCCTCACCGAGATGAGCTGCGTGCAGTGGAGGGCCGAGGTGCCCTGGACACAGGCAATGAAAGGCTGGATGCCCACTTCCTGGAAGGCCTTGCTCATGTCCTTGCACTTCAGCTGCTCCGCATCCGAGATGGTGCACCAGCGCATCTCCGTCACCTGCTCCCCGTTGAGCACTGGGGAGCACAGGGACAGTGAGGCCCAGGTCCCTGACCTCACCCAGCCCACGGCTGCTAGGGAGGGTGGCTTCAGTAGCGCTATAGGATCCCACTGGCCCATACAGCTTGTCCCTGGGCACACCCTGAGTCTGGGAAAGGCTGTGCTGGGCCCCTAGTTCAGGGACATGGGCAGTGGTAGGTGGCATGGCCAGAACCTGGCCATCACTGGCTGTCACAGAGGAGCGAAGGGGCTTCTGGAGTTGCCCACTGGTTTCCCTGCCTGGGGTGCAGCCTGGAGGGAGTTCGGAGCTCCTGCCCCTCTGTGGACCAACAAAAAGAGGGTCCAGGGTCCTTGCTCAAAGTGCCCAGGGGTCTCCTTATGAGCTGGGACACGGGATGGAGGTGGTCTGTGATCTGCCTGTTGCAAGCGCCCCTCAGTGGGGACAGGGCCAGGTCCCCAGAGCACACGGGGAGGCTGGCTGGGGTCAGGGTCCTGGACCCCTAGCAGGTGACTAGCAGGTGACTCCGGGTGAGTTCACTGGCCTCTCTGCCCTGTTTCTAAGAACACGCAGAGAAGCCACACCTTCAGGGCTGGACGGGGGTCAGAACGCAGCTGAGACTCCCGGGTCCCCACTGGACTTCTGCTTGGACCCTATCTCTTGGCTTGGGGTCCCCAGGGCCAGTCTCCTCCCCTGCAGCTGCGACCCTCATCCCCCACGGGGGCCCCACGGTGTGTGCAGGCTCTGTCCTGTGCCTGGGCCCAGTGGGGCCGACCCCGTGACCTCCGTGGGCTGCTGCTGCAGGGACCCAGCCTTGCGCTCTGCTCTCCTGTCCCCCTATCTTTGGGAACCCCTCGGGGCCCGGGGAACAGACAGGAGCAGGTCCCTCCGGGGTCCCCGACACCTCAAGGCTCTCACCACCCCGCCACAGCCCGCGACCCCGCTCCAAGGCCCGGCGCAGGCCGCCTCCTCCAGGAAGCCCTCGGGACGTCGAGGTCAGGGTTCCCCCTGCCGTCCTCGCGCCTTCCCTGCTCAGGACCCGCTCCCCAGGGACCCCGGAGGACCCCTCCCTCCGCAGCCGGGCAGCCTCACCGGCGTGCAGGCACAGGAGCAGCCACAGAGCCGCGCGGCGGCCCCGCATGGCGAGTCCGGACGGCGGGAAGGCAGCGTTGCGGAGGGCGGGTCGGGCGGGTTGCAGGGAATCCGCGGCTTGGATGGCTCCTGTCCTCTCCGCGCCGGGCTACTTAAGCCCCGGGAGTCCCCGCCCCAGCATCCCACACCTCGCCCCTGGGCGGCCAAGTCGACCCCGGCTGCTCTCGGGCGCCCCCTGCTGGACTCCAGCCCTGGGCCCACTCGCCGGGTCCTGTCCCTCCTCCTGTCCCCGCAGGACCCCTGCCGGACGAGAAGCGGAAATTGGGAGCCAGGGAGTCAGAGGCTGGCAGAGCCGCAGAGAGCGAGCTCTAAAGCCCCCGTGTGTCCACCTGCACACAGGGCGCACAGGCTCCGGCGTTCGGTGCGGGCTCGGACGACCCCGGTGTCGGCCGCCCCCTCTGCAAGGACCCGGGAAGGGAGGCATCGGGTCGGGGACTGCCCCGGGTCACATGGACGGGGCTGGATCCAGAGCCCACGCTCCCAGATTGCAGCGAGTTCTAGGCCAGCCTGGGCTACATAGAGAAACTCTGTTTCAACAAAACAACAACACCCCCCCCCCACAAACAACACCCCCCAAAACCCAAAAACAAAAAAGAAAGAGGGAGGAAAGAGAGGGTTGACCATTTTTCTGAGTGGTCCTCAAAGCGAGGCTTCTGGGACAGCGACCTTAGAGTGCCCGGGAAGTTACAGGGGACGGACATTCTCAGGCCCACCCCTGAACCTTGCGGTCCAACACTTCGGGGGATGGGGTGACCAGCCTGGCTTTTTCCTGGTGCACAGTAAAGACCGAGACTCACTGTTCCGGGTAGAACCGAGGGGTGGTCCTGTGTTTCTCAGTCATCTCCTCCGTATTTGCCCACCTTCAGCCGTCACCCTAGTGAGTAGTCAGTCAGAAATGGGACATCTCCTCTTGACCCGGGGAGGGGACACGCGCGAGGAGAATGCAGAGAGCGAGGGCCCTCCGGGCCGGTCGGCGCCTACGCCTGCTCCGTGGCTGGGAAGGAGGCCCGCTCTCCTGCAGTCGGGCCGTGGAGTCGCCGCTTCTCCACGCCGGGATGATCAGCGGAAGGCAGGCAGGGTGGGCTGCAGGAGACCAGAGTTCTACGCATCGCTGCCTTGCTGTGTGACTTTGAGCAGGTTGACCCCCACTTTGGGCTTCAGTTTCTCCCTGTGTAAAAGGCAGGTGATGAGGTCCCTGCCATGCTACCCTCCTTCCCCTCCTGTCCGCTGGAATTCTGAGGGGATATGTGCGGTGGAAGCTGCTTCTCCACCCCAGCTGGGTCCATTGGCAGGAGGGAGCATCTCTTTCTAATCTGAACAACGCCGCCTTAAAAGAAGTGTGATCAACATACACAGTGTATGTTTAAATTTTAAAAATGTATTACATGGGTATTAATCCCCTCAAAAAAATACCCCTCCCTCCCTCTTGTCACCTTTTTTTTTTTTGGTACTGGCGATCGAACTCAGGACCTTGTGCTTGTGAGGCAGGCGCGGAACTGTTGTCACTTTCCGAAGCAGTTCTGGAAGTCCTCCTTCCTGCGTGTCTTTATGAAGCGTGATAAAAATACAGTGACTGCGGCTGCCGAGCGCCATCTAGTGGAGAGGCTGTGTCTTCCAATTTATTCGCCGTATCGGGCACCCTGGGTGTGGCTCCTGCCTCTTCCCCACAGTGACCATGAAAGGCCAACTTTTTTCATCCTCCTTTACATTTTATTTACCATAAACATTAAGATAACACAGCAAATACTGGAGAAAGGGTTTAAATAGTGATGCAAAGCTGAACACTTAAAGTTATGCTTGCTCCTCCCATCTGCTCCAATTCAGACATCATTTGCCGGGGATTTAGCTCAGTGGTTCTGGCGCCTGCCTCGCAAGTGGGAGGACCCGAGTTCGATCCCTGGTACCAAAAAACCCAACAATTCAGACATCATTTATCTTCATATAAGCTGATTCTAGAGCATCACGTTTCTTAATAGTTTTAGAAGAGTATCTTTGCCTTATAATTTAAAACAATTTCCCAAACTGTACCCAATCATGCTATAATACCATCATTCACAGAGTTCCCCAAGGTGAGTACATTTACATATTAACACTAAAATCAATCTTTATTTAAACATCATAATAAGTCAAACCACAAAAACCTAGAATTTAGTTTTAGGAGTGTTTATGCAGACTGCTGCTGAGCTCAAAGCATGCAGGTATTTCATGATCACCCAAATAGAGCTGCAGATTGACACTCTTTCGATATGGCCAATGATAGGACTTTTCACTCATCCCGAGTATCTCCATATTTGTTTACTTTGAAAACCATTCTGTAAGGCAGGAAATTGTTCTTCTTACATTATGGACAAGGAAGCTGAACGCCTTTAAGACTAGCCTATCAAATGTAACTTTTGCCTTCTTGAAGCTTCTACTTCTGGAAGCATAGTTTATCACTTCATTATTCCACTAAACGTGTGTGAATATTTTCAATTACTGGGGCCCATCAGTAGTTTATCCTTATATTTCCACAACTTCTAAGAGACAGTTTCTCATGGACAAGAACCAAGTCTTATTCATCTTTTCTTCTTCTGTATCCATCTGACACCTACTGGTCCTTGAGGAATGTTGAATGAATGAAGAAACAAATGAAAGGAATAAAGAGGCTGAGTCAGGCTGATGGGTGAGTTTAGGTTGATGGGTGGTGGTGGGACATTCAGGTGACATCCAGCAGAAAAGATCATAAAATAAAGGTTAGACAGACGTTGGACCATAAAATGCTGAAATTCATTTCAAGGGAAGTTTCTACCGTGGGCCATATGATCATTAACATCGGTGGGACTGGATTCGTTGGATTCATTCATAGAAGCGCAGAATGGAACTGGCTCATAATGAGGAAGGGTCTCCTTTTCTATATTGTCTGCTGCTGGAGATGTCCACCAAAGAGGACTGATCTCCCACATTTGAGTCATATTTTGACTTTTGAGAATATTGTCTGGGTGGTGAAGATCATCTGATCATAAACTTCTCCAAGAGGAGAATTCTTGAGATTCTTGAACTTTTCTAGGCATGTTCTCCCATAAGAAAGCTTTCCAGCAAAGTATTGCATGATACAAGCAAATATAAGTTTAGGGATGGAACCAAATCTGGAAGACTTGAAAGGATTCCCTTACTTCCGGTCCTGAGTAATCAAATACTTGTCACAGCCAAAGGTAGAGACCTGAACCAGAAACATTCATCGCTGCATCTGGGAACATTCTTCTTCCTTCCTCTGTTGGAATGTAGTCAGCCCACAGGAGGGGAATTGGTCTTAGCACTTGTATATTGGTCTCTGGAAAATCAGCCCTCCCATTCATCTTTCTTATGGCAGGAAATGACATCAACACCCAAAATGTCAACGTTTTGAATCAATTCAGGACATTGAGGCAGCAATGACAGTTCAACTAGACAACTCATGGAAGAGCACTTCCAGACCTGCTTCAGAAGGTAGCAAGGATGATGGGATGAGTGTGCTTGAAGGGAGGGGGAGGACTTAGGGGGGCTTAATGACAATGTGTCTCTTACTGTAACACAGTGGGGCCTGAGCAACTCTGGTGTGGGACCCCAGAACAATAGTAGCCACACTAAGGAAGTTTTGGGAACAAAAGCTTTGGCTTCTGCTGCTGATGGATGGTTGGGTGAGGTGGCTTTTGATGTCTGCAGATGCGGTGCCTGTTTCTCTTGTACTCAGAACCTTAAACAGAGAGGATGACTTTTTTTGGGGGGGGGTATCGGGGATTGAACTCAGGACCTTGGGGTTTTGAGGCAGATGCAGTGCCACTGAGCTAAATCCCTGGCCCGGAGGATGACTTTTTTGAAGGTAGATGTTTTTCACTGTTAACTATTAATGCTGTTAACTGTTGTTAGTAGGGTCTAACGCTGAGGGGAAAGGAATGAAGAGAGCCATGAGATTTGGGGACCAGGATGTCCCCAGGGACTCTGGAGTATAGTAGGCACTCAACAAGTCACAACGGTACCACTTTCCAGTTATCTCTGTCAAGGCTCTTGGGTACAGAAGGATAGGAATGGTTGTTTTCAGGGCTCTGGGGCCAATGGTGTTTGTAGGAGACATTTGATCATCCGCAGAGCACATGTAGCTGGGAGGAGACTGAAGGTACAAGAAACGGGGCCTGTGGAGCATAAGGGGAGCTCAGCCAGGCAGATGGGAGCCCAAGAGGAAGAGACGCTGGGAAAGAGGGAGGGGCTGCCACTTGGGTCCAGAGTGTCACTCATGTCTTGAAGGCCTGATCTCAGTCAGTGTGCTGCTTGGTTGAGAAACGTTAGAGGGAACCAAGAGGGAGGTTTTAGGTTAGCAGGGTACATCCTTGGGGAAGATTGCAGGACCCTATCTCATTCTCTTTCAAGACCCGCCCAAGAGGTGAACGCCATGCTAGGATGTGCTCCACCCTCCTCACCTCCCGCCCGAGCCCTGAAAGCAACAGGTCCACCCTTCCTGCCAGAACACGGAGCCTCTGAAACGGAACTCAAAGAAGTCTTTTCTCATTTTAAGTTATCTTGGTATTTGTTACAGGAACAGAAAGCTAAAACAGACAGAAAGGCTCCCGGGTCAAGCCTGTAATCGAAGGTAAGGCCCTTAACTTGGAGCTCAGTTTATTATTTAATTATCAAACCACAAAAATTTTCTTTTCCTGAAAGTTTTACTTGGAGTAAAGATTTTAAAATGTAAAACGGGATAATCAAGGCTCAAGGGTGAATTCTGAAGATAAACTGTTAAAGCCATTAATCTCCATAGATTTCATTGAAAATGTTTTAATTCAAGCAAAAGCCAGTATAAAAGGAGGAGGTAAAGGGTAAAAAGTAAAATCAGGAATACAATATCTGGGTCTGTCACTAAGATTTTCACAGAAATTTATTCTCCAGCTACTTCCAAGGAGGATTTCAGCTGAGGGACAATGAAAATGTATATGCACAAGGAAGGTAAAATCGATACAAAAAGAGAAAAACCAAAAGCATGTTCTGGGAGATTATTACACCAGCAACCAGAAAGGAAAAGACTATAATTAGACAAAACATTTGACTGATTTAGAGATTTATAATCAGACCTCTCCTCCACTCTCGGCCCCTCCTCCACCTCCACCCCCACCAATCTGCACCCACAGCACTGCAGCGCACACGAGCTGTTTTTAGCATAGCAGAAGCCAGGCGGCGAAGGAGGCGCCATGTTCCCGCGGGCTGGTAGGTCCTGGGAAGCAGAGGAGCTGGGCACTCCAGTGCCCGGGGGAGGCGCCCTCTACTCTCACACCTGACGAGGTACAAGCAGCTCAGGCCGCAGGTGCGAGTTCAGTGGCCGTCCACTGGCTGCGCTAGGAATCTAGACAGCAAAGTCTCGGCTGGGAACCTTCTGTAGACCAGGGGCTCGGGTGGGCCTGAAAGAGTCGGGCTTGCATACTGGGACTTGGGAGGGGAAGCCATGACAGTTGGGAGGTGCTGGTGGCAAGGCTGGAACGTGCGTGACTCAGATCCAGAAGACGAGCTCGCACGCAAGGGTGTACCTAAGAGGCGTGGCTGAGGAGCTGGGCAGATGATTTACGGACCACACACTGTGTCCCAGGAACTGCACTTTACAGGCAAATGAGTTTAGATTTAGGACCCATGAAGGCCACCGAGTGTGGTGAAGCTCAGTCCAAGATGCACTTAGGAAAAGTCATCAGGCAGATGACTGGGTCAGCTCGGGAATTGATGAGCTGGGAGAGGCTTGGAGGGGCCTCTGTAGTAACCGTGACCCCGGGCATCCGCAGACCACAATGCTAAGTGAAGTAAATCAGACACAAAGGCTTGAAAGTTGCATGGGCCTACATATAAACAAAGTGCAACATAAAAGACAATAGGAAAGAAAGAGAAAACGTTATTGTAATCCAGCCTGGACAATGTTATCTAAAAGTGTACCTTGATTTAAAATAATTGTCTTATGTGTTTTTTGGCCTGTTAGTCTGGTTGTTAATCTTTAATTAACTTGAGAAGAACTTATAAAATAAGGTGGGTGTGGTGGTGCACACCTGTGATCCCAGCACTTGGGAGGCTGAGACAGGAGGTTTGCTGAGAGTTGGAGGCCAGCCTGGGCTACATAGTGAGTTTAAGGCCAACCTGAACTACACAGTGAGGCCCTGTCTCAAACAAACAAAAAACTTATAAACAAATGTAATGTTGGCAAAAAAAGGGGGGGGGGGAAGGGGAAAATAATTGAGATGTTATGTACATGTACCAAGTCCCCACAATGAATGTAATCATTATGTATTGCAAATATGTACTAATAAAAATATAAAACAAAATAAAATAATCGAGACTTTGGGGTAGGAGGTGGATGAGGACCTAGGTTAGAGTGACAAGAGTGGAAATGACAGAAAGAAAAATGTGTTCAGAAAGAGTTAAAAGTATCTAGTGACTGAGGATGTTTACGGAGAGAAATGTTAAAAGCACTAAGGTAAAGCCTAGGTGATCAAGAACGTTAAGTACAACCACTATTAGACGTTTTAGTTACAAGATTAGTAAAGCTTTTCTTAGTAAGGGTGTGTCAGACACACTAGATATGCAAGCACTGAGCTTTCAGAGAAAGGGATTGATCTTCAGAAGATGTCTTTGCTAGTCTTAAATACTGCTAGAGAAGTAGATGTTTTTGATTAAATGATTCTCACAAGATTTGGAAAATCTTTTTGCAGAGACCCATAGTGTGGAACATATGGGACTTTCCTTAGCTTTCCCATCTGTAACATGAAGCTAATTTTAAATATCTCAAAGGAGAAAGATTACATCATCCCTTTTCTTCCAAAAGAAAGTTCATTATATCATTATTTTCCATTGGCAAGTTTCAAAGTTTTTTTTTAAAAAATCATTCTATGGTAGTTAAAACTGTCCAAATGAAACTGGTCATTAACAATGGATTGGCAGAAATAGGGATAAATATATGCTCAATATTTCCACTTTGGCTAAACACCAGTAGTTGCAAAGCTTTAGTTTGGAACCAATCTAAAGGACTTTCCCCCCTATAAAACAGGCATACTGTGGTGAGAATGGAAAAGACCGATGAGCTCCTGTGTGACATCTGTATCCAGGGAAGGTCACACCAAACAACCAACCAGCAGAGCAGGTTCTGGTAAGAAACCCTCAGGTGCATATATGGGACTAGAATTAGGTTTCTATAAACTACCTAAGTGTTTAAAACACACTGAGGTTACTACCCAAGAGATGTTTAAAATGCAGAGGCACTTAGTATTTTTGAATAAAAAATCACAATCTTCTAGAGTTCAGAAAACTCCCCAGATTTTCAGAAATGGTCAAAGCCTTCTCTCCTAAATTAAATGGCTGTTTTCACTTGCTGAGGCCCCACTGTCTTTTGGCATCCATAAGGGATGGCTTCTAGGACCTCCGGTGGGTGCCAAACTCCGAGGGTGCAAATGTTTACATCGAGGTAGGTACTGTACATGATCTGGAGATGACTGTCAGCAATTGGAAGGCTATGCATAGGTTACATGCAAATCCTGTCTATCTAGTAACAGAGATGGCAGCATCTGCAGATTCTTGTATTGTGGGGGATGCTGGAATCAGCCCCCACCTCGGATACAGAGACGACTACTGTACACAAAGGGAATTAACTGTTACACAGGATGTTATGTTCAAAATGGTTTCATTTTATCCCAGTATTTTAGGGTGATTTAAAAAGGCATATGTACATAGTTGAGATGTTATGTACATGTACCCACCATTCCCCACAATGAAATCATTATGTACTGCAAATATGTACTAATAAAAAATGTAAACAAAATAATTGAGACCTCGGGGTAGGAGGAGGCTACTACTGTTTCTGATTTATGCTACTTAATAAACTGCATGTATTTTCCCAGGAAAACAGAAACAACACTCAGGTTAAACTCTGGCACAGCCTGAGGGCTTCAAATTCTTAAATGGTCCTTCTTGGAGTCTCCCCCTCCTGGCACAGTTCATTCTGTAAACAGGCCCTGTAGACCTATTATCCTAGGTTCAAAGTTTATGACAACAGGCTCGTGTGCAAGCGCCAAATGTGTGGATGCTCATGGGACTGATAGGGTGGGGTGGAAAGGGTCTATTATGATTTTCAGCCTCAAAAACCCATTTCTGTTTGCTGCTCCTTGTTCTTGCAGGCCCAGGGCACCCAGGAGCAGAAAACGATAGTGAAAAAACTGAAAGCAATCCTATAGTCCTTCAGCCAGTGGTTGACTGTGATACAGCCATTAAATGAAGTATCAGCAATAAAAGCAAATTATTATTATACCCAGCAATGCGACTTCTGAAGCTTTTGTCAAGGGAAGAAAGCCACACCCAAGATGCTACACAGTTTGATTCCACTCTTATGACATCCAGGGAAAGACAAAGAAAGAGCACAGGCTTGGGGGTAGGTGGGAGTACTGGCCACCTAGGGACAAGTATGAGAGAATTTTGTGGCATGAGGAAACTGCCGTGCATTGTGTTTACATTATGGTGGGGCTTATGTGACTATACGCATGTGTCCAAACTCAGAACAATACCAGAGTAAATCTTGCTGTAGCCAAATTAAAAAAAATACAAGGAAGGATAGTGGTTTTCTTTGGGGGAGTAGTGATTAGGAGGGGTGGTAGTTATGGTCTGTATGTACTCTGAGCTTTGTGCTGGTTAAAAATTGAGATACATGCACATTCTTATTCACACATTACATGCTGTCTTACTCTTCTCATTTCTGAGACAAAGACAAAATACCTGATGCCCAAAGTTAAGGGAGGAAAGGTTTATTTGGCTCAGTCTGTAGAGGTTTCAGTCCCATAGCTGGCTGGCTCCAAGGCAGGGCAGCATGGCAGACAGGCAGCACAGCAGAGAAACAGTTCATGGCTGGCAAAGGCAGCAAAGCAAGCAAAGGGCAGACAAGCCTCTTTCTGTTTTGTATATTGTATCCAGGCTACCAGGATTAGGTTGGTTGCTAAACAGACCAGGGGCTGATTTAGTAACCATCCACCCTTAATCCTAGCATTACACCATTAATCAATCACACACTCTAGATGCAGGCACCTCTGAAAAAGCCCCACCTATGACTGCACGGGACTTTGAGGGGACATCTAGACATAAGCCGTAACACACATATACTTTATTTCAATAAAAAGTAAAATAAAAACTCTATTCTTGACCCATCTCTGGTACTCTTCCCCCAATTCTTCTCCTATCTGCTAACTACTATGATTGGTAAGAGACACCAGGACAGTGGGGGCAAACCCATGGCACACATGTCACAGCAGGCTGCTTGTACCACTGACAGCTCTAAAAGGGCTCACCATTGCTGCACTGGCAAAGTCAGTGTGTGAAACTTCTTGGTGGTTTGGTATCTGTTCCCCAATCTCAAAAAATAAGTTAGTTAAGGGCCAGGGATTTAACTCAGTGGTTCCACCTCCTGCCTTGCAAGCGTAAGGACCCAAGTTCAATCCCCGGTACCAAAAAAAAAAAAAAAAAGTTGACCAATTGTTTTTCACAATGTTGTTCAGTAGATAGGGTTTATTTTACTGGCTCTTAGCCATATTTAAAAAGGAAATGGGGACCCGGGATTTAGCTCAGTGGTTCTACCCCCAGCCTTGCAAGCATGAGGACCAGAGTTCGATCCCCAGTACCAAAAAAAAAAAAAGTTGACCAATTCTTTTTTACAATGTTGTTCAGTAGACAGGGTTTATTTTACTGGCTCTTAGCCATATTTAAGAAGGAAATGGGGGACCGGGGATTTAGCTCAGTGGTTCCAGCACCTGCCTTGCAAGCTCAAGGCCCTGAGTTTGATCCCTGGAACCAACAAAAAAGGAAATGGAGAAAGAGCTGGTCGACAAAGTAGTAAGCAGTGACAGTCAAACTGAATGAAAGAAACTCTTTGGGTTTCGCCACCTGCTGCGCAAGCGCAAAGACCCAAGTTCGATCCCCGGTACCAAAAAAAAAAACTCTTTGGGTGATTTAAGTAATGTTGTCCTATTGTCTTAGCCCTGTTTCTAGACTCTTGATAATTAATGTTCTGGAGAACTGTTAGAGACTATTGGGTGTAGAACTGTAGACACTAGGGCAATTTATGAAGCTGAGATGTCTTGTGGTTCCATGTTTGGAGTTAGGGTGGGTGACAAGAGCAGTAGGTCACAACACACAAATAGGGATCTTCAGGGTAAGAGATCAGTGAGTCTGATTAGAGGGACTGAAATGTAAATCATTTCCTACCTTAAGTCTACCAAAGGAAAGTTCTTTACATGCAATGAAGAATGGTGAACTTTATTCTCAGTCTTCGACTACCAACCATAAACACACTCTGGGGTCAGAGGAAGAATGGGTGTTGAATATCAAGTATCAGATGTGACTGGTGTTTTGCATACACCATTTAAACCTTGTAACAATTCTGCAGTATATTCAAATCCCATTTCAACTATGGTAAAAAGTAAGGGTCAGACTGAGCTGCACAACTCTAGTTTCTCACTCCAAAGGAAAAGGGAATTAACTTTTAGTGTGTGTCTGTCTTATAATCACTAACCTTCAAAATATCTCCATTTTAGAGAAGTACACAGCAAGGATGATGTAGCCTGCTCAAGGTTATGTAAGGGATAAGTGGCAGAGCTGACATTCAGACCCAGCTCATTCCACAGCCCAGTGTTTTTTTTTGGTACTGGGGATGGAGCTCAGGACCTTGTGCTTGCGAGGCAGGCATGGAGCCACTGAGCTAAATCCTGGCCCTCAAGCCCAATTTTCACGTTACAGACCACTGCTGCCAAAGTCAGTGAGTGCTGTATTGTGCAACTCTGGAGGGAGGTGAATGGAATCTTTTTTTTTTTGGTACCAGGGATCGAACTTGGGTCTTTGCGCTTGCGCAGCAGATGGTGAAACCACTGAGCTAAATCCCTGGCCCAGGTGAATGGAATCTTTAAAACACCAGATATCTCAAACTTGGGCCAGAAAAATGACACCTGTTTTTCTGATATCTTTAAAATGCAAATTCCTCAATGAAATAAACATCAATATTTACTTTTCCATCAGTAATTCAAGTCTCTGGGATTAAACAGCCCATCATTTACTAGGGAGCCACAGAAAGTCAGAACAGGAAAGCAATCAAACATGTAGCCACATTTTAGAGGCATTTTCCTGCCAATTAAAGGACATTAAGATGCATATAAAATATGGAATATTTAATAAGTATGTGAAACTGTATTCTTATTCCCTGTGCATCAGAATAGCGGATTTCTTTCCTAATGAATACTGTTCCAACTTTGGTTCTGAGGAGGTGCCTTTCTTGTATGTCACTGTGACAGTGCTAGATTAGGCTGTGCTGACTCCTGATCTTTCCAGCTGTGGTGGGAATGACTTACTCTGTAAGTCTGTCCTAACTGTGTGACTCTGCAAGGACCTGCACCCAAATCTCTCTCTTTTTTATTGGTACCAGAGATCGAACTCCAGACCTTGCGCTTTCGAGGCAGGAGCTGGAACCACTGAGCTAAATCCCCAGCCCCCAAATCTCTTTATTTATAAACAGGAGCTATGATAACGTAAGTCACAGTGCCTTACACAATAGGAAGTGAAAATGAGGGAGCAGAGTATTTTGGAAAAACGCACACTAGGGACGACAGAGAGCCTTGGATCTGAACACAGAGCATTACCACTTACTAAATCATCTCAGGCAAGAGATTTCCCTTAAGCCTTGGAGCAGGGCTGGTAACAACTTAAGACCTTATTTTTCAAAATTAAGCGATCATATACAGGCACTAAAGGGGCTACTGCATAGTACTCAGCAATTAATAATTTCATTAATAACTATATCATCTAGAATATAAAAATATTTTCTCACCAAAACAAAAAAAATCAATATATTCAAGCCAGGTGTAGTGGCACATGCCTATAATCCCAGCACTCTATTGAGGCAGGAGGATCACTAGTTTGAGTCTAGCCTAGGCAACTTAGTGACCTCTTAGTGAGAACCTGTCTCAAAATACACACCAAAAAAGGGCTGGAGATACAGTGATGTAGCTCAGTTGCAAGGCCTTGGATTCAATACTCAGTTAAAAAAAAAAAATCCAGAAAGCAATGTACCTCAGATTTTTAACACATAAATAGCATCATTTTAGAATTTGTTGGTATTTACAACATGTGACTATTTAGTAAATACTCCAAAATACCTTGTAAGGTGCTTTTTGGAGCTCTTGAGATTTTGTAATTGTCCTCAAGAGTGTTTGTTTGGTGACAATCTGCTACATTTACTGTGAGAGCTATAATACAATGCCAAGTGGTTACTGAATTCAGGTTATAAATTATATAATGCCCCAAACTGTTCCAAGAAAGAATTAGCTTATAAAATAATTTTTCTTTCAAAATTCAAGACACATTTAATGTGAATTTTACAATAAAGTTTATTAGCTGTTCTCCTCTTTCTCACAAATGGAATGGATAATGTTCATAATTCTTTACAAATCAGTATTCATTTAAGAAATTTTAACGAGGAGGTTGTCAAAAACCACATATTTAATAAACAACTCCAAAGAGAATGAGAAGCCAAATGATATTAATAAAAAGGACCAGAGGAACTGTTTTCTGAACTCATTTCTACCTTTTATGAAAATTTAATTGCTCACCATGAAGAACTGTGCAACCCTAGAGCAGAGCAGCTACACAAGATAAGGGCTCCTGAGGGGAAAACACACCGAGAAAGGGGGGTTTCACCTGTTTTCTGTTAATCGAAGGAGAACTAGGAGGAAAGGCAGAGGACCAAAATCAAACCTAAGGACAAGAACAATGACATTAGAAAACCAAGAACCTTTTGAAAAATTCTATAGAAAAGAGGAGAACATGCTTATTCTTTCACTTGCAATCTAATGACCCTAGAGGTTTCTCCTCACAACCACCACACCCCTGTGTTCAGCTCACAGATTAAAGAAGGTAAGTCTTATCAATTAATATTTAATTTAAAAACCAAACAAAAAGTAGGTGGCAAAAGAAAAAATATATTTTAAATATATATGTTTGTGTGTGCAACTATGTAAAGAAAATAATTCCATAGTTACAGAGTTTAAAGAAAGTTATATATATATTTATATATATATATTTTATTATAACAAAATAGGCAGTTATTGTGGGTAAAATATTCATTAAAATCTGACCCCTAAGAATACATTTAAAATTTTAGGCTATGAATTGGATTCCTTTTCCAATGCCATGATGATGACTACATCTCCACTGTAATGTCTCTTCTGTCTGCATTTATGTCTATGGAATTTTCTCAACCTTCAGTGTAAAAGGTGGGCTTCCTACCGCCTCCACATGACCTTAACTCAGAAAATGGGATGATCATTATGTATGAACAACTTTTGTGAGACACTACAGTGTTGCACAAGTAGATTAAAAACATTTGAACACTGTTGTTCCTACCTAATGTATTGGGGCGGAAAACTTGAAATAATAAAAGACTTTAAGAACTCTATGAAAAGTGAATATCCCTTGTGAAATTATGAAAGTTAACGCAGACATTAATTTTGAAATAAAAAAATCTTATTTGTCGATAATGAAATAATTACTTTGATACAGAAGTCAATTGGGAAAAGGGCTTGAGAGCTAATACACTGGCCAAACCATGCTATTAAAGTTAAGCGTGCATAGTTGCTCAAAGTCTACTAAATCACTTGTTAAAACCACTTTTCTTTCATTTGTACTGAAATTTCAAAAGGATGTATATAAAGCTATTCTGAAAATCTCTTAAAGTTACTTTCCCTTAAACATTAAGGAGTTTTATCACAATTTCTGCATCTCCCCAGACCCTTAACAGCTGGTCAGGCCATCCATCTTCAGTTCTGGAAAATGGTCACAAACCATAGTGACGTAGAATAATACAGATGATGCAACACGAAGGAGACAGTAGATATCAAAAATAAGCACAACTGGGACCATGATGAATGAGAGATGATTCAACATGAATGGAGTACTAAAGACAGACTCCAAAAGGAAAGGGCAAAGAAGTGTCAAAGAAAATGAGACTGTGGAAAAGAGAAATAGAGAAACATCAGTCCTCATAACTTTTCTTTTGCTGGAACCCAGATGTAAGGACCAGATTGTTCTTCTATGATTTGCTTCACTTGGTTGTAAATGTCTTCCAGCGTATCGCCCTGTACAATAGCTACAATGAGAGAAAAAAACCCAGAAATCTCCATTAATTGTCTATCTTTGAAATCAGTTATTCTTTTTTTTTTTTGGTTATCAGGGATTGAACTCAGGACCTTGCACTTGTGAGGCAGGTGGCGGCACCACTGAGCTAAATCCCAGCCTCCATCAGTTATTCTTGACAGTTACTCATCTAGGAAGAGTCACCATTTATCTACGGTTTGCTTAGTGGCGTTAATTTTACTATTTGTATAATGTACAAATTTTTATTTTAAAAACCGAAAAAAATGAGATTTGGTTATTTTCTCTTTTGCTTATTATTTGTTTTGTCTATCATGTAAGTGAGTACTGGTTTCATTTGCTCATTCATTTGGCGGTGCTGGAGATTGAATCTAGGATCTGGAACATGCTTAACACACTGAGGTTACTCTCAGCCCTTGGGTTTATTCTTTCAAGACAAATTACATATTTCCTTAACTTTCCTGATTTTTGCATAATGTGCAGAGAAAAGGAGAGTGGGTTCAGTGCCAGAGAGCAAGCATGGCTACTTTTCTGGTTTATTTTGGGTAGTTGGATCTTAGGGGAGAAGAGCTAGTTATAGATTGGTATTACTTTCTCCAGGTTGCTACTATGACCAGGTACTGGAGTGGAGGGGACCTGAGATGCATAATCTGTACTGTGAGTAGTTAGGAATTATTAAAATCAATGTTGCAAACTTTCTCTACAGTCCGAAATTATGTATAAATAAAAAATGGTAACAATTACCAACAACTAATTCTCTGGGAATACTTGGGAGTCCCAGAGGTCTGTGAGGAATAAAGGTCAGTTAATCAAACAATAACAAAAAGTAAGTCTTACCAGAAAGCACTAAGCATGAGTAACTTTAAAAAAAACAGAAAATGTTTACTTATAAATGAAAGAATTCAAATTTATGCCATATAAATCATCAAACTGCAAAACAATGCTCAGTGATTTTGGAAGATCATCACAGATATAGATTTCCATGTCTCAAAAACCTAGAATTAAAGTCCAAATGAAGATTTTCAGTCAAATTTTCTATTTGATGATTGGGATTATGCACAGTACGCGGCTAGGGGAATAGTTCAATGGTACAGAGCTGGCCTACCATGTGCAAGGCCTTGGGTTCAATACAATTAGGAATGAAGGGAAAAAAAGTAAAAGGGTATGCACATGTTTAGGGACGGGTTATAACATATACAGTTAAGAATGCTTGATTAACCAAAAAATTAAATACTGTAATATTTACTAGCATCAGTTTTGTGAGAGTTCACATTTTGAGCAAAATACATTCATGCCTTAATCAGAGAGTAGAATGGGTAGGGGATTTTGGGAAATGTTGGTCAAAAGGTACAAACATGGGGCTGGGGATTTAGCTCAGTGGTTCTACTGCCTGTCTCAAAGGCACAAGGTCCAGAGTTCGATCCCCAGTACCAAAAAAAAAAAGGTACAAACTTAACACTTGTAAGAAAGGGACCTAATATTAACCTGAAATGGTAACTGTGGTGACAGATGTTATATGATTGCAGTAATCCACATGCTATGTATATGCATATCAAATTACACTATACACTCCAAATATATACAAACTGTTAATTATATCTTAATATAGCTGGAAAAAATAGATCAAAATTTATAAAAGATAAAAGTCAGAATTTCATATAAGAAATCAAATCTACTTTGACCATACTTTTCTCTGGTCAAATAATTCACTTCAATATATGCTGTCCTAATCAACAACTTAAGAAACATTAAATTTCAAGATTCCCCATTTACCACTGCCTAGGTTAGATGAATTTTCCACAGAAGAAAAGCACAGTTTATTCTGAAAATGATAATTCTGATTACTCCCAGAGATGTGGACATAATTCAAAATACATTTGAATGTATCAGTGCAAGTGGGTTCAAAGCAACATTCTATTATAAAGGACACTGTCACACATGGTCCCAACCTGTGAAATGCTCAGTAAATTCCTGTTCCAGTTTCATGGCTCTCTCAAACGTTTTTCTGGCTTGTTCTTCTGTCAGACGCTTATTCATTTCCCTATGCAGATAAATTTAGAAACTGGTAATTACACCACATTATAATATTCAAAAAAAAAAGGAGAGAAGACACATAAAACATAAAATCATAAAAAGTTGAGCTCTGTTGAAAACATGAATGTCATTAAGAACAGATTTAGCTTATATCTGGAACAAAAAAAGGGCTTTACATTCTGCAAGGGATCAAGTAGCCCCCTAGGATCCCCTAAGGATTACTTTATAACATTCTTGACTAAAAGAAATTTCATATTAAGACCGACAGATTTACCTACTAATTTACAGAAAATAAAGAGGATACATGAATGTTAGTAACACCATGAAAAGATAATCAGAAAATACAGAGTGAGGAGAAATGACCTGGTTTCTTCACAAAGTAATTGGGGTGATGGGGTGGGGAGAATGAGAAGGAATGAGAATCTATAGACTAAAAAACTTAACAGTCATGAGTATCTGGACCTGGAACATCCGGAAATGAACACATTAAAAAAACAACTACGAAATAACCAGGAAGCCTTGATTATTTGATGATATCAAATTATTATTTTATGTATGAGAATCACTGTTGTTTTTAAATGTAAACAAGACTCTCAAATAAACACAAATATAAGCATGAAATGATGTGTCTAGATTTGTTTCAAAATAATCTGTAGTGGAGGGGTAAGGAAGTGGAGGATAGATGAAACAAGAGTGTTATGTTGGTAAATTTTGTTGTAGCTGGGTGAGGGGTATACAGAGGTTTGTTCCTAATTTGTGAGGGAAAACTTTCAATATTTCACCATTGAGTATGATGTTTTCTTTTGTATTTTGTATAGTTACTGTTGAATGTTCTGTCACCCTACAGGGTTCCCTTGAGCATTTCTTGTAGGATAGGTCTAGTGGCAACGAACTTCCTCAGTTTTTGGTTATCTGAGACTTGATTTCTCCCTCACTTCTGAACAGTTTTGCCAGCTATGGGATTCTTGGCTAACACTTTTTTCTCATTTCTAAAGTTTCTGATGACAATTCTGCTGATAATCTTACTGGGAAAATCTCCTGTATAAGATGAGGCACTGATTGCTGCTTTCAAGATTCTTTGTTTTCCAACAGTTTGATTATAATGTGCCTCAGTGAGGGTCTGAATTTATTATGCTTGGAGCTCATTAATTTCTTGCATGTTTGTATTTATGTTTTTTATTAAAACTAGGACAAATTTTGGCTTTTTTTTTTTTTTTTTGTACTGGGGATCAAACTTGGGACCTTGCGAGGCAGGCGGAACCACTGAGCTAAATCCTTGGCCCTTGGCCACTATTTTTTCAAATAATTTCTCTACCTCTCTCTCACTTCTTCTGGGACTTCCACACTGTATATGTTGGTTGACTTAATGGTGTTTCAGTTTCCTTAAGCTCTGTTCACTTTTCCTCAAGGTTTGTTTTCTTGTGTTCCTGACACTTGGTAATTTCCATTGGCCTGGGTTTTTTTTTTTGTTTGTTTGTTTGTTTTCTGAGACTGGGTCACACGATCTAGCCCAGGCTGGCCTGAACTCATGGTGAACCTCCTGCCTCAGCCTCCCGAGTGCTGGGATTACAGGCGTGTGCTGCCATGCCCAGCTCCACTGTTCTTTTTTTTTTGGTACTGGGGATCAAACTCAGGACCTTGTGCTTGGCAAGGCAGGTGCGGTGCTGCTGAGCTAAATCCCTGGTAACACCCCTCCCCCCTCCCCCTGGGGTACCAGGGAGTGAATTTAGGACCTTGCACTTGGTGAGGCAGGTATGGTGCCACTGAGCTAAATCCCCAGCACTCACTGTCCTATCTGTATGTCTGCTGATTCTTCAGCCTGCTCAAATCTGCTGTGGAATCTAATTAAAAAGAATTCAGTTACTGTTCTTTTCAGCTCCAGAATTTCTTTTTCATTTCTTTTCCTGGTTTTCTCTTTACTGTTATTTCTATTTTGCTCACATATAATTTCCTTGACCTTGTCCATGTCTTTTTGTTTTTTGAGCATTTCTAAAACAGCGAAAGTCTATGTCTAGTAAGTCTGACACCTGGTCTTAGAGATCATTTCTATTAACTTATTTTTCCTTTGAATGAATGGGCAATACTTTTTTTGTTGATGAAAACTGGACATTTGAGTCTTATTAGGATGTAACTCTAGAGATAAAACTTTCCCTTTTCCCCAGGGTTTGCAATTTTATTTAAAATTTATTTATTGTGCAGTGTTTCTGTGCTAAGGATTGGCTTGAGGTGTAAACTTTGGGTTCTGTCAGGCATTTTCTTTTTTTTTTTGGTACCAGTGATCGAACTCAGGTCCTTGTGCTTGCAGGGCAGGCGCCAGAACCACTGAGCTAAATCCCTGGCCCCTGTCAGGCATTTTCTGAGACTGTGTCTTTCCAGAGTAATATATAGTGGCTCTCTAGATCCCCCCTGTATATGTCGTTATTTCTGAATGTCCTGGACTAGCTACCAAAAGGGGAAAAGGTGCTGATCCTTTAAATCCTTGGAAGTTACTTCATCCTTGGGGGCAGGAATGTGCAATGATGGCTTACTGCCTTTATCTGTGTACCTCCAAGATCAGAAGCAGCAATCCTTTATCACACCACAGATCCCTGGCATTTGGAGACCAGGGTCCTGCTGCCCACCCTGGCACTCACAGATTGTGTGCCAGGTGCTCAAGGATTATATCACACTGCCTGTTATGGGGCGCTAAGCAGCACTACTACACTAGGAACTGAAGGGAAGGTGCAAGCTTTCAACAGAGTTCCAAAATAACTGTCAAGACAGATGCTGCCGTATGATTGTTTTGTAGGGAGAAAGGTGGTTCTATTATTTGGAGATCCTCTTTTGTGATGTGCCCAACCCCATTTATTCTGTTGTCTCTCTAGCTCCACCACACTGTTTTCTCTTTGTGGTGCAGGGGATTGAACTTAGGGCCTTGGCACATGCTAAGCAGGTGCCCTACTATAAACTTATAGCCCTGACTCTGTAAGAAACTTTTAAATTTATGTAGTTCCATATCCTTGATTTTTTAATGTGATTAATTCCAGACAGGTGTGTTAGGTTTCCTCATGATGATTTTGGAATTATTCTTGTTCCCCTAAATAGCTGTCAATTTGTGCCTTACATATTTTTGGGACTGTGCTATTAAGTGCAAATGAATGGATACATGTATTTTCCCGATGGAGTGTAACCTGCATTTTTATTAAATATACTGTACCTCTTTATCTCTAGTAATATTTCTCACTTTAATGTATACTTTGACAGTAATGGAAAGCTAGTCTACTTCTGGTTAACATTTACATGGTATATCTTATGTATTCTTTTATTTTCAACCTTTTCATAGCCTAAAATTAAAAGTATATCATGACAACCGTATCATCGTGTTTTTCTTCATCTATTCTGACAAATTTTGTCTTTTAATTAGAACATTTAAGCTAGCATTTACTTTGGCAGTAAACAGAGGGGTCTATTTACTGAAATATTTGGGTTCACTTATACCATTTTACTGTTTATATTGTTTTGAGCCATGTGATCTATGTCTCTATTTGCTGTTTTCTTTTAATTTCTATTTAGATTCTGCTTTTTTCCCCCCTCTCTTATGTAGTGATATATTTTTTAATTCTCTTAATGGTTCTTAGAGCTGTACTACTCAATTCAGTGGTTATTCTTAGCTACATGTGGCTCTTTAAAATTCTAATAGATGTAGCTATATTTTAGTATTATAAATGGTGATGGTGACAATGATGGTTAACATCATACAGTATTTAATCCTCATCCAGAGGTACGTACACTCCATAAGGTGGATACACAGGCTATTATTATCTCCAGTATATAGATAAACTGAGATGCAAGGAGGGTAAATACTTAACTCAAGATTTGTGCTTAGCAACTACATATTAGGCATTTGCACTTACATGATATTTTCCACAGATTTGGGTTTAATGAAAACGGATATTGGATAAAGTTGTGCAATTTGTAATCTCTTTATGGCATTTCCAGACACATCGAGGATACAGTGTTTACCCTAAAAGAGAATAAAATAGAAAAACAAGTGAACTAAGTCTTTTTAATTATATCAAAGGTACATTTCTTTTAGGCACAAAATCTAGATTATCCTATGTCTGCATCTTTTCACTTTAGGCAAATTATCATTTCTACTAGCAAATATTAGAGAGAAAATGAAATAAAACAATGATAATGATTACAAATAATTAATCTGCAATTCTAAAATAATTACTACATTTAAAAAGGAATAAAAATATGGTCCCCAGGGCCGGGGATTTAGCTCAGTGGTGCTGCCACCTGCCTTGCAAGTACAAGGTCCCGAGTCTGAGCCCCCGTACCAAAAAAAAAACGTATCCAAACTTCTAGCTATTACAGACCAATTTCTCAAAATGGTGACCTAATATAGGGTCTCTACCTTTAATTTTGTTAAAGAGAGGGCATTGGTAAAAAGATTTCAAACTAGCATCTTCCCACAACCATAATTTCATAAAGAATATGATCAACAGAGGGCAAAGAATCCTAGAATAAGGATAAATCTTCACTTGATCTTAGCCAAAAGGCTGAGAAGCAATATAATGACAAATCTTCTAAACTGAATAAATGTGTAAAACCTCACTACTACTATTCTATCATTTTTTTATTTTATTGGGGATTGGCAAATACTTTATCATTAACTGGCATTTGGGAGCCTGAACCTGAATTTAAATGACAACTTTTCTGACATGTTTAAATTCATTGGCAAAGGTCATTTTACATTTTTAATAGATGAACATTTCCATGTTAAACAGGGTAGTATTTACAGTAAGTCCCTGACTTCTGAACATTCGAGTTGCAAACTTTCATAGGTGTACTGTATAAGAGTCACTTTGATGGATATGAATGATTATGACTTATAAAGGTGTTCCCAGAATGGAACTTGTTCACAATTTGGGGACTGTGTATCTTTTTTTTTTTTTTTTTATACTGAGTCTTTCTATGTACCCCATGCTGACCTCAAACTCATAATCTGGCCCCTGCCTCCCAAGTGCTGGGATTTCAGGTGTGCACCAACATGTTCAACTAATTTATTAGACTTTATTATAACATATTTTAAATGAGGTCCTCCCTCATAAAGCACATTCTAAGCAAAAGGCCTGAGAACATGTAAATAAATGGTCATTTCAACTTAGCAAGTATATTTAAAATGAAAAATTGTTAAATATTTCAAACATTGAAAAGCAAAAACAATGTATCCATCACCCATTTTCACACTAATATTTTACATGATTGCTTAGAAATAAAAAACTGACATTCTATCACATTCGCTTTATTTTCTCAATATATGGACATAATAGTGAGAATAAATTGCAGACTTAATGTTCCTTTACTCCGTATTTCTGACAGCAGTGGCAGCTTGTACATAATCACAGTATAACTCTAAATGTTGTCTAATGATGTCCTTTACTATAAAAAAATAAAAACTTCCTGGTCTGGGATCCAATTCAGGATCCATTCAGGTGTAATCTCTTCACTTTCCAGCAAGCTGGCACAGTTCCTCAGTCTGCCTTTTTCATCACTGTTTTTGAAGAACACAGAACATTTATGTGACAGAATAAGCCTCAATGGGTTAGTCTGCCTCTCCACTGGCAGCTGGCATGCTGGAGTTCTTGGCAGGGACGCCTCAGACATCGTGCTGTGTCCTCAAGTCTACCAGATCAGGAAGACATACGGTACCTGTGTGCTCTATTACAGTGATCTTCATTTTGATCACTTGTCTTTCCACTGTAAATAAAATTCTATTTTTTTTTTTGGTACCAGGGATCCAACTCTGGACCTTACACTTGTGAGGCAGGTGCGGTACCACTGAGCTAAATACCCGGCCCAATAAAATCCTATTTTTACCTTTGGAATGGGTAGGTACTTTGGGGGAGGATATTTTGAGTATGCAAAAAGCTTATCAATTTCCCTCATTAATATTACCATGCCTAATGATTCTTACTGGAAACAGTTACTATGGTTTTTAAAGACAGATTTCTTAATTTCATCATTTCTTTTACTTTAACAGATATTCTAATGTAAGGTAAAGCTTTCCATTCTACCTGTTTATTCATGTATTTATGTAATTATGGACTGCTAGATTCTTACTTTATTCTATGTGTTACAATCAGCCATTACCATCATTTTGATGTTCAAATATTAACATAGTTCTAAAAGTCAAAATTGTACAGAAATCTATACTCACATGGGGGCTAGGGATTTAGCTCAGTGGTTCTGGCACCTGCCTCGCAAGCGCAAGGTCCCGAGTTCGATCCCAGGTAAAAAAAAAAAAAAAAGAAATCTATACTCACAGAAATGCCCCACCACCAATCCCTTCTACTCCACTTCCACTTAAGCCATCCTTACTAACCCTCCTGTTCTAGGTAACCAATTTCATTAGGCTCTGATTTGCCCTTCTCGTGCTTTTACACAACTAAATAAATGTGTATTTTCTTATTTCCTGTTTTAAAATCATACCATAGATCCTCTTTTGCACGTTACACATCAGTTCAGACACCCTATTATTATCATCATCACGTAGTAATTGCACACAAATTTACTGTGTGAATATAAAATTGATTACAATTAATCACTTTTTTTTGTGTGTGGTACCGGGGATCGAACTCAGGACCTTGCACTTGCGAGACAGGCAGTGGCACCACTGAGCTAAACCCCTGGCCCACGATTAATCACTTTTATATCTGGGCATTTACATGGTTTCCAATATTACACAATTATAAATGAAAAGCTGCAATGAAAACCCTTCTCTAGATATATTTGGGATAAATTCTGGAAGTGAAATGCTGGGTTTAATGGTATATACATAGGCAGTTTTGCTAGATATTGCCAAATTACTCGGCAATAAGCTGCACCAGTCTGTATGTACACCAGAAATGTAAAGTGTCTGGTTCCTCTCAGATTCACCAAGAAAATGTGTTTTCATATTCTTTTCCTAATCTGAACTGGAATTTTAGTGTACTATAGTTTTCATAAACATTTCTCCAGTAATGACTGAAGGTGGGCATCATTTCTTATGCATAAGGGCCAGTTTTACTTTTTTATTTGAAATGTGGACAGTAGTCACCCCTTATCCTCAGAGGGTATGTTCTAAGGCTCCCAGTAGATGCCTGAAACCCAGAAGAGTATGAAACTATATTTATCTGGTGCTTTTTTTCTGTACATACATATGTACACACATAAATTTTTTTTTTTTGGTATGGGGGATTGAACTCGGGTCGTTTCGCTTGCAAGGTAGGGGCTGGAACCACTGAGCTAAATCCCCGGCCTACATACATAGATTTAAAGCCTTTTCCATCTTAACTAAGTAAGCACTTATCGCACACTGAAGCTGTAATTTTTAGTTTGTGGTAGGACAGCAAGGCTTGCATGTATTTTTTTTTTTCCTTCTTCACAACTGCATGGATAGAAAATCCGTTCTTAGCACAAATCTTAGCAACCTCCAGAGGTTGTTTTTCTCCCTAAGCTGAAAACTTTCATTAAAGGAAGTACATTTTTCTCTGGCACATCCAAACTGACAGTACCACCTTTCTACCTATCCTCTGCAATTTGATTTATTCATGCTATGGTTTGGATATTCCCACAAAGGTCCATATGTAAGATCTTGGTACCCAGAGTGGTGGTATTGGGAGGTGCTATGGACCTTTAAGAGGCGGGAATGGAAGTCACTGGGGTGTACCCTTGAAAGGGATTATGGGACTCATTCTCTCTCTGCTCATTTGAGATGTGACTCTGACACATACTCCCACCATGATGTGCTGCTGTCTGTCCTAACTAGATGTCAAACCAATAGGGTAGCCTGATCTTGGACTTGGAACTTCCAAAACTATGGGCTACATAACCTTTTTCTCTTTATAAAGTCATTTGCCTCAGGTATTTAATTTTAGTAAAACAAAGTTGACTGACACAATTCACTATTATAATTTTGAGTTTTATCAATGTGAAAATACCTGATACATTAGTATATTCATTCTAGCTGCTATATGCCACTACATAGATAAGTTAACTATCTATTCCCCTTTATTCTAATTTTTCATATTATACACTTATGTAAGATTCTCATGTGTGAATATATACTTAGATACTAAGAAGCAAACCTCTGGATCATAAAGTATGAACATTAGGTACTGCCCAGCTGTTCATGAAAAAGTTCTGTTAATTTGTATTATGACCAGCACCACCCAAGGTTTTCCATTTCCCCAAATCTGTGCTACCACTTTTGGGACATTTTTATTTATTCAAAAATTTAAAACTAATCAGAATTAAAGAAAATTGTTACAACAACAGTAGTACATACATATGGAAAACTGACTGTTTTGTAGGTATTTCATGACTAAGCCTTAAACTATTAGTTGTGTACTATGAAATAATTTGATTTTTTTTTTCTAGGCCCAAGGAATGATTAAGCATAACAATATGCCTTGGAGGTACATTGTTTTGGTCTTACCCTAAATCTGTTTTAACATGATGTCACAGTGAAATACTCTGAAGGATGCTTTCAGAAACCTGCTGTTACTACAGAGTTTTTGAGATTTTTACACTGTTTTTGGAGACTCAGGAGAACTTTCTGTCTAATCTCAGTAGCAGTGCAATTGAAGATCTCATTGACTTTTCGTGATGGGCACTGCTGATCTTAGCTCCTTAACATTTTATATAACTAGAAGACCAAAGCCAGACACAAGGTCTATCTATAGCAAAAGACCTTAAAGTAACATCTTCCCTTTCTGGAGAGATTCATATGTTATCATTTCTATTTTCATTTTCTTTATCTACATTGTGTATTTTATCATTTAAGTATTTTTCTAACCTAAAATTAAATATTTAATAAATTCACAACACAGTAAAAGTAATCAAAGCTGTACCAGCTATCTTACATTTTTCATACACGTGAAGTAAAGATTTCTGTCTCATCACCCTTTATACCACCAAAGGAACACCTGATTAGAAACTATATTCTGGGTTACTCTGAGGCTTACCTTTTCTGCTACTTCTCGCACAGACTGAACACTTGTTCCATATAGATGGTTGTTATACTGGCCAGCTTCAATGAATTTATGTTCTTGGATATCTTTTTCCATCTGCTCTCTTGAAGTCACAAAATGGTAATCTCTTCCATCTACCTCATAATCTCGTTTTGGTCTAGTTGTATCTTTAACAGAAAAAAACTTGGGGAAGTGTTTAGTATTAAAAACACAATAAATGTGTTTTCTATTTAAATGATTGTAAAGTTCAACGCAACAGACAACTTAAATCTGAAAAAATAATTTGGAGGGGGGTGGGATTTAGCTCAGTAGCACTGTGCCTGCCTTGCAAGTGGAAGGTCCTGAGTTTAATCCCTGGTACCAAAAAAATTTTTTTTTGGAGGATAAAATAACTATGAACCATTAAAAAATGGTTATGTTTATTTTTGCCAAATACTATGACAGGGGATGTTAAGAACAATAATTAAGAGTTTTTATGTGGTTACTCACGAGGAACACAGGATCCAAATTTGTCAGGAAATTCTGAGATCAAGTCATCGTTTATCCTGTCTTTCATAGGTCCCAATATGATAACTGGTCGAGTATAATTAACTATAAAGATAAACAATACGTTAACAGGAATGAACACTCAATAAAATATTAATGTACTTTATTTTACCAGAGAACAAAATCATTCTGAGCTGTTAAAAAGAACTTCTTTACTCTTCTTTCTCTATATCATTTCATCAACAGTGAAATATGACTATTTTATAAAACTTTATTAAGATACTCAATCTCCACTAGAAGTGAACTGAATTAAATTTAGAATTTTAGCAGAAAATGTTTTTAAACATTACTAACATCTCATTATAAATGTGAAAACAAAATATGTGGGTTTACAAATAGAAATCACAAGGAAAGTGAACAAAGGACAAAAAAGAAATTGGGGTAGGAAGTGTTATAATCACAGCAATAATTTAGAAAGATGATCTAATAGAGGGTATCTACTGGATTTCCAGGGGTCATGGTGGAAGATGGGAGATTAGGAGTGATAATCGGAACTAACACTGTAGTAAGAAGGCTGAAGAAGAGGTTATTAATAAGGAAGATATGACAGAAGTACAATATAAAGGGCCTAGAACATGCCTGGATGAGGATAAGGAACAGAGAAAGGTCAAATGAAACTTTCAAGATTTTATAAAAGGGTTTCTGGAAAGAGAATACTGTCATTATGAATGTTGGAAAGAGGTTGCTTAGGAAATAAAACATCATCATAAATCAGCCAATGTAAAATGATTTCATTCTAATACACTATGAGCTAAACTTTGTTTCATAAATTTCTACATAAATATACATAGTAAGTAGTAAAATTCTAATATGAAATTTGTTTACAGTAGATATAGACCTATTTTACAAGGGTTTTTTGTTTGTTTTTTTATAAGACTATAAAACACCAACAGGCTTTACAAACCTTCTTGTTGATTCACTGGTTCATAAGATAAGACATATTCTTCTTGACCACCTATTAGAAAGTTAAAGCACAGATTAAAAAAATCTGAAAAGATAATAAACACAAATTTAATCCTTTATATTTAACATATAAATTATTAGGACTTTCCTGAGAAAACAACAAAGATGTATAAAAAGATACACTACTTCATAATTATTTCTAGCAAGATTCAATAAAAGAAGGCAAATTATTAAGTTATGAGGATTGAAGTTTAATAAATATAACCAAATTAGATGTTATTTATTATAACTATTATTCTGTGCTTACAGATCAAATCTATTAAAATATTTGTGATGTTGAATAAGTGCTATTAATTTTTTAGACTCTAAGAACTATTAAATCTTTTAAAGACTAATGCTATTAAACTTTTAATGATTAATACGAGTAGTTTTACATATATGCACATTAGATATTTGCTTTTTAATCAAAAAGTACTACTTTTTGGTCCCACCAAGTATAATATTTAACAAAGTGTGTAAAACTACTGCCACTGTTTCACTGATGAAAAAGTTCACTGATTATTCTGATTCATCAAGTTTAAGAAAATAACATTTAAATTGTGTTAAAAAAGATCTTCTGATAAAATTAAATCCTTCCCTTCCAACAAAAAGGAATCAAATTAATAGTAAAGAAGTTAAATATAGTTTGTTTTGATCTTAAAAACACTTTAAAGCTTCCGAAGGTTAAATTAAATGGGTAGAACTTAGGAAACATATTAAATAAAAAAGTCTGCAAATTGTATCTGAACCCAGTGAAAAGAATTAAAAACAGTTAGGCCGGGGATTTAGCTCAGTGGTTTTGCTGCCTGCTGCGCAAGCCCAAGGACCCGAGTCCGATCCCCAGTACCGGGGGAAAAAAAAAAAAAAAAGTTAAAAATTCTAGTTCTTAACATACTCCCTAGTAGAAAAAAAATTACACTGTATGTGGCTCAATGAAAGCAATCAAAACTGGATAATATATTTGAAGATTTCCTCTTTATCAAGTTCTGTAACAACTTTCATTAATGTCACTGGTTTATATTATATGTATTCAGCTACAGGTCTTTTAAATTCACACACTGGTATAAGTATTCTTTCCTGCTTTAAAATATATTTATTTGTTTTTAATTTTATTATTATAGTATATAAAATAGATATCCTACAAGCTGCTTTTAAAAGTGGATGTAAAATATGGTTCACATACTAGCAAAAACATGCAATCTGAATATTCCACACCTTAATGATTCATGCAAATGGTGAAAGAGACAGTATATACTTTCATTACCTCTCTTTAGTTTAGAAAGCCAGTCAACTACTCTATTGTGGCTTGTGGTTATAAGTTACTAAAATGCTGAAATCACATTCCCACATCAAAAAAATGATTAAGAAACTCTCATGTAGAAAAGAATAGCCAACCAAATGAATGAGAGTTAAAAGTATATATTGTCAACATGAAAAAAATAGTACAGACTGATATGAACAGGATGGACCTTTGGAGCAGCCATACTCATCTGTAATCAAGATTACTTTCGTAACAGACAGCAGTAAAAAAAAAAAGTTAGAAAAGCGATTTTAATTTTTAAGATGCTACAACTGGTAATATTCATGTATCTCCCACCCTCCCCCTCCCCAGTCTGTTTAAAGACTTCACATGTATACCTCACTTAAAAATGCCAAGAATATAATACGTAATACAAAGAAAGATAGCAGTATTTTTTTGTTTTTGAGTAACGTTGGAAAAAATTTCCTTCCTCTTTTATTTTTAGTACCCGGGATCAAACTCAGGACCTTGTGCTTATGAGGCAGGCGTGGAGCCACTGAGCTAAATCCCAGGCCCACGTTCCTCATTTCTTATTCTAACCAACAGGTGGTGATAAACAATGACTTGGCCCAGACCAATACTGGTGACAGAGCAGAAAAGAACTAAAGCTAATTATAACTTAGCATTATTGAAAAAGTTTAGAGTTTATGTTAAAAAAAAAATTAAACAAAATGTCAAAATACAAGGTTACTCTTCATTTAGCCAGGTACCTACTTTTCATAAAAGATACACATACGCACATATGTGCTGTGTACAAAAATAACACTATTCATAAAAAAGGTTTTAGTAGTTTCTCAAAAATTTGGATATCTATCTATCTATCTATCTATCTATCTATCTATCTATCTATCTATCTATCTGCTGAGTATCTTTTACCTAAAATGCTTGGACCAGAAGTGTTTCAGATTTTAATTTTTTTTGGACTTAAATTTGAAATGCTTCAAAATCTGAAAATTTTTGAGCATCACGTTGCTGCTAAAAAGTTTTAGAATTTGGATAGAGATACTCAACTTGCAGTAGATTTATTTTTCAAGAACAGAATTTAATTGGCTTCCCCTGATTTTAAAGTTAAGCATATGATTTTCAGTTTTTAGAAAATATAACTAAGGAAAAACCACCCAAAGGATATGTAGTACTTCAAATTACAAAAGAACAAGTAACTTAAAACACTTACGGTAACTACTTTCACTATCGCTGGCATTAGAAGTTACATGCTCTGAAATTGCAGGACAATGAGAAAAATAAAAGTGTCATGAGTTTAAAAAGCTGATAAAAGCAAATTATCAAAGTAAAACATGGTGACATACATTACAAAATGTTGAGCTATAAATCACATATAAACAAAACATTTTTAAAAAGCATTTTTGATTTTCTTTAAAAATTTAATGCTTTTCAATCAAACAAATAAATATGAATCAGCAAGAGAAAATACCTGTAATTAAGGACAATGCCTTATTTTTATACAATATAGTTCATGAACAAAATCTCTAATATACATAGCAAGCAGAATATGGCAAAGAAGGCAAAGTGATCCTAAATTAGATAAAATGTAGAAACAAAACCCAAAATGAGAAAATGTATTTTGCACTATTTTAGTTATATGAAACACCAAAGACTAGCAGAGGAGACAAGTTATATTTGAGCAAATAGATGCCCAATTTAAGGAAGAAGTGTCTTTGTAATTTAAAAACAGGTCTTATATTTAGTGAAACATCTCTCACTCCTGAAGAGAAATAAGAATTCTTTTTTTTTTTTTTCGGTACCGGGGATTGAACTCGGGTCCTTGAGCTTGCGCAGCAGGCGGCGAAACCACTGAGCTAAATCCCCGGCCCAGAAATAAGAATTCTTATTTCTGGGATCATACAAAGCATATTAGATGTCACAAATTCAATGTCACAAAAAATAGTGAATGAAAGGGAATTCTTTAGTTTGGGATTGCCTTTTAAAAAATACTACACACTTTGATAAAACAGTGCCTGCTTTGCAAAACATGAAAAAAATAATAGGAGAAAAAATAAAAACTAAGATACATCATGTTCTGGTACAAACACCCAATGATAATGTAAATGTATTTTATACCTAAAATGTACCAATAAATATATATAAAAAAATGAAAAAAAATCTAAACAAATACATCTTGTCAAAAATTGCCTGACCTCTCCTCAAAATAATTCCATTTAATAACTTGTTTAGTAAACAAAAGTCACCCTTTTCATACATGTAAATGTAACCTCTCAAATCTTGAGTAAAAAAAGACAACTATTTATAAAAACTGAAAAAACTCCTTCCAATGAGACCTCAATTTGTAATGTTAGAGAAAGAATTTTTTTCCTCAGAAAAAGGGAAAAGTCTGAGGATAAATATCGGCTATACCATAATACCTACCTACTGAGTTTCCCAAAATCAAGTAGCACTATGCAAAAGTACAGAGAATGGCAGAATTTAAGATTAAGTTAAAAAAAAAGTTCTTGAATTGCTATTGTAGTGGAAAATATCTGCTATTCTAACCTGCAAAGACAAGATGTAACTTAATTATGGTTAAAGTAAGAACTTTAAAAATTACAAGTAGAATCAACTAACATCTGACAAGCACATATAAAATTATCTTTGTAAAGCTTATATTTAAAAAGGTCATTACTACATGGAGTTCAAAATCATTTAAAATTGTTGTACAATATTCTGTTGGACTAATAAATTATGATTTACCTTACCCCTTATAATTTAGACATTTTAGTTTGCTTTAAACTGTTTTCACAAACATCAATAGTGGTAAATGCATTCATTTTTTACAGCTTTTTACCCGTCCTAGTTACTTGAATTTATTCCCAAAAGTAGGAATGTAACATTAAAGACTTACTTTATATTAGGGTTAATATTATACTCAGCAACATAAATTTATAAAAGAAAGAAAAAAATAGTTATGGTGATGAGATAAAGTGGAAGTATAGAAGAAACAAAATTGGTTAATGTTGAATTGATAATTATGAAAGCTGGATAAATGAACTTGTGGAATTTTTACTACTCTATTGAACATATCTGACATTAGTAAAGTTACTGTTACCACTTTTCAATTAAAACATTTCCTCTTCATCTTGAACTCTTTTAAAACTATATAACAATCAAAATTTACAAGTTCTTTCAAATATTCTTTTACTTAGCCCCTCCACAATAAAATCTTGCTCAAAGTATGGGCCTTGGAATAGTACCATCATCACTGCTTGGGAACTTATTAGATGGGTAAAGTGCTTTTTCCTCCTCATAATTAAAAATACTGTAATCATCTTTTTTTTTTGTGGTACTGGGGATCGAACTTAGGACCTTGCACTTTTGAGGCAGGCATGGTGCCACTGAGCTAAATCCCTGGCCCTACCGTGATCTTCTTGACCCGAGCAGGGGGCACAGCTTGCCTAGCATGCTGGAGGCCCTGGGTTCAATTCCCAGTATCTTGGAAACAAAAGCAAAACAGTAAAAACTTCCAAAAGGCACTTCAGCAAAGAAGGTATTAAAACAGCCAATCACACAAAAAATGTGCTCAAATTTACTTATCAGAGAAGGGAAAATTAAAAGACTAAAGGATATTTCTATCATTTACTAGAATGGTTGTTACATCGTGTTGTTTAGGGAGTAGCGACAGGGAAAAGTCTGTCCAGTGCACACAAACCATCAAAGGCTTAATTATAAGGTACATGAAAAGGATGTGAAGTGCACAGTGCTCAAAACAAGAGCTGCTGAGAGTCTACAGCAGGCTGGGCCCACATGGCCCCTCATTTACATGATGTATGCAGCAAGTTCAAGTTTTGCGTTTTTTTGTCCATTTATAGAATCCCCCCCAAATATTTTTGATCCATGATTGGTTGAATACATAGATGTGGGACCAGTAGGATATGGAAGGCCACCTGTACCCATGACAGCTGAACATATGGATATGTATAACCCAGCAATCCTTCCTTTCCTAGGTATTTCTCCAAAAGAAAGGGATACACATGCTCACTAAAAGACATGCACAAGAATGTTCAAAACAACCCTACTCAAAATAGCCTGAGAAACATTTTATTTGCATATCTGAGGCATATGTATAGTTTCATACTTTTACTTTTTTCCATTTCCATTTTGAGCATTTTCCATGTCATTTAAAAATACGATTTCAATGGTTATGCAATACTATAAGGTATGGATAGATCATACTTCATTAACCATTCCATGACTAAGACATTTTTGAACTGTTTCAATTTTGTTATTTCTAAATACTATTAAAATAAACATTCTAATATATACACCTTTTCTCCATCTTAAATTATGTCCTCAGGGTAATTTCCTTGGAGGGGACTTAATGGACTAAAAGATACTTTTCCCAGAAAGGCTCTACCAACTCACATTCCTAATCATAGTATGCTGAAGAAGTCACTCCATAACAACTTTGAAAGAAAAGTCCACTGAAGTGACAGGTAAAACACACTGTTTATTACTAGGGAGATTAAACATTTCTGTAATGCTTATTTCATCTACTCATCTTTTAAGAACTCTTGTTATAGTTTGGATCTGGAGTGTCCTTCAAAGGCCTCTATGTTAAAGGCCCGGTTCCTGCCAGCATGGCACTATTGGGAGGTGGGGCTGAGTGGCACATTTTATGTCATTTGAGGGAGTGACCTTGAAGGGAATGTGGAAGCCTGGCCTCATCCTTTCCTTCTTCTGCTTCCTGGCTACTGGGAGGTGAGCTGCTCATTCCACTATGCACTCCCTGATGAGACGCACTGGCTTGCCACAGGCTGAAACACAACACAGCCTATTGTGGCTTGTGTCTAGATGTCTCCCCAAAGCCTCATGTAGCCTTTTTCGAAGGCAGGTGAATCTGGAATATTTGATGCTGGGATTAAGGGCATGTGATTACTAAATAAACCACTACATGTGAGTGAGTGGTTTGGCATTGCCCTAATCCTGGTAGCCTGGATGGGATAAAAGGGGCAGAAAGACGCTGTTAAGGCCCCTTATTAGTTCTGCTTGTGTGGCTACCATGAACTGTTGCTCCTCTGCCACCCTGCCTTGGATCCAGCCGATTATGGATTGAAACCTCTACAAACTGTAAGCCATAAACCCTTCTTCCTTTAACTCTGGGTGTCGGATATTTTGTCTCAGAAACAGAAGAGTAATAAACAGCTCCTCAGGTCGTAGAACCTCCAAAACGGTGAGCCAAATTAATCCTTTTCACTTTGTAAGCTGGTTATTTCAGGTGTTTGCTACAAGTAATGGACAGCTAACACGCTTGCCTTAATCTGTCTAGTTTTCTAATGGACAGTCTGTTTCTTACTGACAGAACTTAGTGTAAGATTATTATCCCTATGACATATATTACGCAAATAATGGGAAATTATAAAAATGGAAATGTTACTTATACATAGGTACAAAACTTTTCTGAAACTGTATGACATAATTTCACTTCTCAGCACCTTTTATATCTTCTACTGAGCTATATTTCCTTTTAGTCTCTGTTAAAGGACTCTTACCCAATCTTATTCCCTTGAGCCTCTTTAGAACTGCCTCCTTACAGCATAACATTTACACAGGCAGGTTTTTTATTTCTAGCTTTTAGTGAGTATAATGACTTGTATTCTCCTAGACTTCCATTAGTCCTGCTACTCAGAATTAGGTTTGGAAAAACAATTTCTCTCATTGATTCCTCAAGGCAAATCTGTAACCTCCACCATAACCAATTTTCAATTTTACTGATACTTCATCTCAAATATTTTCTGAATAAAATCTTGATCTAATCATTAAGTCACCAGGTGAATAAATTCTTTCAATTCCTGTGCAATGAAGCACAGACACTTATCATTCAACTGATCTTAGTAACTATTCAGAAAAATGAAAATTGTTTTCTAATTAACACTGATAATCAATCACCATTTTTCATGTTGTTTCTCTTCTCAATTCCAATCCTCAACTAGAACCAGACACACAGGGTTAAGGTATAATTATCATGTACCATAACAATGTCAACATGGGAACCAAATTCTTAATTTAGTTCCTTTTTCTGAGTTTTCCATAGGTCTTGATAAAAATCGCTAAATCCACTTCCATCTCTAATATACACCAACTTCAAAATAAATTCTATAGCATCAATAATCCACGGAAATATTTTCCAGTTTTGAACGTTTTTTCAATGATAGTTTTTCCCACGTGTAAGAGATTAAAAAGTGGATGCCACCTGTGATAGGAAATCTGTGACCTTTCTTAAATTCTAAAAAGGTACATGTAAAAATAACAAAGTATGTCTAATAGAAATAATTATACATAAAACCTACTGTCTTAAATCAAACACAAACCTAAATCATTAAGGTTGAATTAAAGTCAAATATCTATACTTTATTAAAATTCTAACATAAAATTACCATAAATCAGGAAAAAAACCTGTAAAATTTAGTATTAATATAGATCTTAGAAAGTGAAAACATATTGGCTATAATCCTTAGTGATCAAGGAATCAGAGAAATAAGTTTTCAAAATGCTTAACAATCTAAATGGAAAAACCACTTAGAAAAAAATAGTCTAAAAAGGATTATTTCTATGAATCATTGTGCTATGGTTTAGGTCTATCTGTTCCCCCAAATTCTCAGGCATGTAAGAGAGTAACTGGATGGGGGGTATATTTAGCAGTGGAGTCACCCACTGCTGAGTTCATGGCTGTGTGTGCTGTTAGGAGGTGGGGACTGGTTGAAGGAAGGGCGGATCTCTTTCTCTGGCTCCTTCCTGGCTGCCATGAGTTGAGCAGCTTTTCCTCTGCCATGTGCCTCTGTCATCCTGTTTTTGCCTTGGATAGAGCTGACTATGGATTGAAACTGTGAGCCAAAGTTAACCTGTCCTCTCAAGTTGTGGGTGTTGGGTATTTTGTCCCAATGATGAGAAAATGACCAAGTGACACTCTCACCTAAAATTACTTAATACTTGGCAAATTTTTATAGCTAAGTAATTTGAAAACATTCAAATTAAAAAAATTTTTTGTTAAAATGTCTTGATTCACATATTTATTTGAAAATTTACTGATTTCTTGATTTACTTTTTTTTTTTTTTTGGTACTGGGGATCGAACTTGGGTCCTTGTGCTTGCGCAGTAGGCAGTGAAACCACTGAGCTAAATCCCCGGCCCTTGATTTACTTCTAAATAGTCAGATCCTGTGCTAAACTTTTTATGAAGATTAAGTACTGGCTAGAAAATTAATATGGCAAGAAAAGACCAAAACTATCTTGGTTAAAGAAAAACAATGGAGGGCCAGGGATTTAGCTCAGTGGTTCCACCGCCTGCCTGGCAAGTGCAAGGTCCAAAGGATACAAAGGATAGTATTTCTTATAATTCATTTCATAACATAATCTTTTAAAAAAGTATATAACCTCCCCCAAACTGTGACTTGAACTTGATGCCTGCATTTATTCTCTAATAATTAAAATTGTTTTATATTTTTAGATTACAGCCATGTATATATATATGAATGCTACATTCCCACACTTTTTTTAAAGCTTTGAGATAAGGTCTCATTAAGTTGCTAAGATGCCCAGGCTGGGCTTGAACCTGTGATCTTCCTGCCTCAGCTTTCCAGAGTGCTGGGATTACCGGGGTGCACCACCAACTATGGCACAGCCATACTTTTCTAACACATAAAAGTGACTGTAACTTATTTTAACAAAAAAAGTATGACCTAAAACTCTAAGAAAGCGTATTTCTACATCCTAATAACAAGGGTAGGTAGTAGTATTTTAAAAAAAACTTTTAAGAAGTCTCCGTATTTAAAAATTCAGTAAAAAAAAGTAACTGCCATAAAAGTTACAAAAAAGGAAAATGTACTTATAAACATAGCATTTTTTAAGTGCCATGTAAAAAAATGGAGCATAACAAAAATAAAAAGTGTATGTTACAGAAATAAAATCCCAAGCATGTTGTAAACATGGAAAGTCTAAAACCAATCTAAATCACACACCTCCTCATGCCAGAAGGGCACTACTACCATGAATCTCAAATGTATCTGAACAAGGTAGGTCTGCAGACGGAGGTTAAAACATAACTTGGGAGTATTTTGATCACTTACTCAGGCCTTTTGATCCCAAGTCGTCAGGGATCTCCTGTAGAGAGTAGTCCCCAGAGAGCAAGCAATAAAAAGATAATCAAAGAAAATAGTTGTCAGTAATGCATAAAATTGGTGCTACAGTAAGAGACAGTTCCAAGACCATTACAGGTATACACATCTTACAGAGCATTTTTAAAGATATCTGAAAGTTTATAATGAGCTACCAGCTACATGTAAGCTACAAAAGAATGAAAAATTTGGCCTAGTGACCAACTAGGGTAGATAGGCAAATTTTTAGGCCATTTCTTGCTATTTTAAAGTAAAATCACATTGTCTATATCTAATGAAGAAATAGGATAAAATGGAATGATTCCAGATGAACTAGAATCAAAGACTGGCAATGCTATACCTAGAAATTAGTTATCTTTTTCTTCTAAAATATTCTTTGAATGTTACATTAAAAAACTCTTACTTCAAATAATTTTATTTACTTTTTTATATGTTTTAGGTTATAAGAATATAACTTAAGAATTCTTAAGGTGCCAGAAAGAGTTAAGACTGGCATATAAATGAATTTATGCCTGTTAAGTTTCCTCCTGTTAAGACAATTAGTAACCTGTTGCAGCTCTTGAAACTGTCTCCATGGTAACAACCAACTGCAGGGCAGTAGGTCCCTCTACATTTATCTTCAGTTGACCACTGGATCCACATACTTACGGTCAGCATCACTTGTTTCCTGCTCACTCTGGTCCTTGTTCTTGTAGAAGGGGAACTTTCGGGAAAAGAGGTTCTTTTTACGCTTGTCATTGAATGACTGCTGAAGAAGAGAAGGAGGGGCAAAACAAAGGGATGTCTACTGTCTGTGTGTACAAAAGCCCAGCCTAGCAGCTTCTGTGGAAGCTGACTCCTATGACCACAGGGTGCAGTTTGTATGACTTTCATTTTATTCACATAAACAGTGAATTTCTAATTCTGAATAAACTTTCCTAACATTTTGCAAATGAAAATATTTTTAAAATTTGAAGACTATAATTCATTTATACCTTAAAAAAATAAATGCTACTTGACAAAGAAGGTAAGGAGCAAATCAGATCACTACTACAGCACAAACCAAGCTAATATTAAAAACCAAGTTTTTAATGAATCCTTACTTTTCTAGAAAAACTTCCAAATATAATCCTAGGTGCTCTACAGCAAGTTTTTTTCCCCCAAGAAGCAGTCATTGAACCCATGCCTCATACATGGTAGGCACATCTGAGCTACAATCCCAGCCTTTGAACTTGTAATCTTTCTACCTCAGCCTCCCAAATAGCTGGGATTACAGGTGCACCCCATACCCAGCTAGTGGAAGTTTGCTGCTCAATTATTTTTTATGCATCAGTTAGCAGTTTTCATTTTACTTTGGCCTAACATTTTTTTCCTTTATCCCTTCATTTGTGGCTACAAAAAGTGAACAGAAAAGCATTATTAAAAAAGTAAACCAAAATAATTATGAGAGAAAGGTAATGCTAACTATTTTAGAACAATCTTCTTTTTTTTGGGGGGGGGAAGACAAATAAATGCTTATGGCATATATTAGAAAATGGGAAGAAGTTCATTGGGCATACAGTCCAGGAAAAGATTTATCATTGCTATTTCATTACAACTGATTTGCCTGTTTCTAAGCTGCCCTATCTATATATCAGTATCTCTATATAAAACAGAACCACATCCAATCCATTGTCATCATTCTGCCTAGAGTCCACTGCCCATCAAGGCCACAAAGGCAATTAAGATGCTAGAAGTTTATACAAAATTATTGTGAGGGAACTGGGCAGGTGATTTGATGTGTCTCACCGCCCAGATGTTGGAAACAATTTTTTCCCCCTTCAGTGTCCCATTTGTGCATTCACGATTTGAGACCATGTAGCAAGAATGATGAGGCTTTTAAAGAGGAACAGCTTCTTTTGTAATTTCTCTGTCATAACAAATGGCCTCACCTATCAGTGACAGAAATAATTATTTTTTGGGAGAGTGGGAAATATACAAAGGCTGGAAAAATCTTCCCAAAATTTATATTTATTTCATAGTATAAAGTTACAATTACTCTATTATTGTTAGTTTTTTACTATGCTTGACTTATGTATTACATGTTTATTTTAGGTAAGTATCTACAGGAAACATTGTGAACCCATGGTTTCAGGCATCCACTGCAGGTCCTGGCATGCGTGCTCCCCAGGGAAGGGTGACTCCTGTGCATTGTGCTGGAGGACACCGACACTAACCAGGGTGTTTCGGCATGCCCTTATTTTTAACCATGTAATGCCAGTGATTAAGGTGCTGACGTAAAGTGACTTTTAGTTACAGTTTTATGACTTGAGAGGATTTATTTTGAAAAGGATCTTTACAAAAATAAAATTAAACTTTAATTTTTACCTTTTCATATCAGTAATTCAGGATTAGCCAACTCATAATTCATTAGCCAAGCAGACTGTCTTGACTTCAATCTTAACATTTGAAGGTTTTGAGGAACTCAATGATAGAACTTTAAGCAGAAGTTAAAAATTCTGAGGAGAGAAGCCTTATGGAGAATCTGGGCTTATAACTTTTATAAACTGTCAAGTAGCATTATTTGAATAAAAATCTTTGCTTGAACCCCAATTTTAGAAAGGAAAAGAGAAGAAATTTTAAGTTTCAGTAGATAAAAAATTATGGTAATCTAATTTAGGAGAGTTCTAAATCTTTTCATTCATAAGAATTACTACTTTTGAATTTAGTGATTTTTGATATCTAATAAAACTGATGCTATGTTTATAAAAGGTTATTTACTCATCTTACTGCATATATCGTGGTCAGAGTCAGTTTCACAGCACACAACCAAAAGAAACATGAAGTTTAAAATGTTTTGATTCTTGGTATCTTTGCAGTTAGCCAAAATGAGATATCATAAAGATATCAACATAGGACAGAAAGAAATGCTTGTTAGTTAAGAAATGTATTAACTATTACATTTAATACTTCCAAGTGAAGAATTTGTTAAAAGTGAAAATAAAAACAGCACAAGCGAACAAGACAAAAATGTGTAGGGAAAATACAAAACTGAAGAGTTATGCTATCTCCAGTTTTTCTATATTTTCAATAAAAATACCCTATCTATTTATTGTTATCAATGCCATATTGTAAGAGTGCAATAAACATAAAATATCACAAATTCATAATATATACATTAAATAGCTAAATATAATTTCAGTATGTAATTAATATTTCAAAATAGCCAAATGAATGTTAAAAATGTTAATGAAAAGCTGAAATGTTATGTCTGTTGTGAAAATAAAGTCTACAAATCACCATGAAAGGAAAAGCAAAGGAGGAATAGGACATAAAATTATATTATGGGAAGAAATGCAGTTCTGTATCAATGGCAAGCGTATTTTTACCCCACTCAGTTATCATGCATACTTTTGGTGCTGTGTTAGAACACAGTGATTGTATAAAGTTGGTTACAGTCAACAAACAAGACTGAGGTTTAAATACGTCGTTAATTCAGTTAACTTCTTATAGTACAAAAGAAAAGTTACAACATGCAACCTCTTTTTCAATTTGCTGATGTAGTGTACTGAAGTAATTTTAAAGACATACATAAAACAAGCACGAAAAGCACTGCAGTTATTTCAAATCATGAGCATTTACTTGGAAATGTTCCTCTAATAAAAATTTCTATTTTACATATTGTTTCAGATAATTCTGTATTTTCTGAAAGCTACAATTTAAAAGAACTATTTCCAAAAAATTGAACATATTATACAATTTACACAGATTTAATTTCTTGGACCAAGGATCTGATTTAAGTTTTAAACTTTTATGTTTAAGTGCTCAGTGCTATCAGAGAGGTATAGAGAGTAAATTTATTTGCTGAATGAATTTTCACATTCATTTCAAATATGATCAAAGACGTATAAATTATGCTTTAGATAAAAAAACAACAACAATGCGAGACAAAATGTAGCTGTGAAAAGTATTTCACCATAACACGTGGTGAGGCCTCTCTTCAGGCTATTAGAAAACTCCACTGTGGTCAGTTCAGGTAATCAGGAACTACATATCTAGTACAACTGAAGCCAGAACTACCTTTCTCATCTCTTCACACTCAAAATTTTTATTCAAGCAGAAAGATAAGTACATGGAAACTAAATACAGATCTAAAACAGATATGAAGGAATTTCGATATATTTCTTGGCCATCTATAAAACTTGTCACTTTATTCCTGCCAAATAAAGATTCATGTTGATACCAATATTTAAAACATAGAGTTTATTACGGAACAATTTTCCAGAATTAAGGGCATATAAAACAAGGAAATGTCTATGAATTCACTTTCAATAATCTCAAAACTTACATTATGACTTAAGTTACTATTTTGAGGGGACCTAGAACAATCATTGATAATTCATTTATAATAATAATCCTGACCAAAAGTAGGTTGCTAAGAATATATCAAATGATAATTTGATAATTTGGAAAGGTCTGTGAAATAGGTGCTTTAATTTAATAAATGCTTACTATTTCTGTAAAGCACCATGGCAAGAGCTATTCATTTAATTCCTACGGCAAAGTCATTTTCATTTTAACACAGCTCAAATAAGCATTATGAAAAGGCCTATTATTTGCAATTATTAAGTTTTAGAAACAAGAGATTTCAAGTACTCACCCCTTTATCACCTCTTGCTTTAGAATTGAATTTTACTGTTTTTAACCGGGCTCGTTCTTTCTTCTCAACTCTGTCAAAGTACAGATGGTTACATACTTTTTATTTATTTTGTGGTACTGGGGACTGAACCCAGGGACTCTGCACAGAGCTATTCACTCAGTCCTTTATTTGAGACAAGATCTTGCCAGGTCTCTAAATTGCCCATGCTGGGCTTGAACTTAGCATCCTTCTGCCTCAGCTTCTTGAAGTGTTGGGATTATAGGTATGGACCACCATGCCTGGCTCAATAAGTAGTTTACTTATTTACTTATTTTGGTGCTGGGAATTGAATGCAAGGCCTCATACATGCTATGCACACACTCAACCAATGAGCTACATCCTTGGCCCCCAGAATTTTTTGTTGTTGTTTTTTGTTTTCTGAGATAGGGTCTTTCTACGTAGTTCAGGCTGGCTTCTTCAACTCACTAGCAGCCCAGGTTAACCTCAAACTCATAGTGACACTCCTGCCTCAGCCTGAGTGCTGGGATTATAGGCCTGTGCCACCATGCTTGTCTGCTTTTTTTTGGAGATGAAATCTATGTTACCCAGGCTGGCCTGGAACTCTCGATCCCCCTCCCTCAGTTTCTTGAACAGCTGGGCCGACAGTCACACGCCATCATGCTAGCCAGAATATTATTTTTTAAAGTAAAACAAATAGTTTTAGCAGGAAGGGCTAGAACCGATACCTTTGTAATGGGCATCTTTATACTCTAAAATCTTTAGGAATCATCTAGGTTTATAACCTAAAATTAATTAGAACTGATGAAAAACAAAATATAGGGGATCATTTTATCATGAAATATAAAAACCACTGTATGATTATACTTATATATACACTCAAATCCGTAATTATATTGAAATCATTGGGAGGCACTATTTCTGAGTTTAGTGATTTCCAGGTATTTCACGTTTTTAATTTTAAATATTAGCTTAGGGTAGAAGACAGATGAGAAAAATTAAGCTTGATAGATAAAGCAAATTTAACAACTGGTGAAAATGGGTGAAGGATATATGGTTCATTGTACTAGGCTTTTCTCTTTTTTTGTACTTATTTTTCTGTAGCTCTGAAAGTTTAAAAAATAGAAAGGTTGTAAATAAATTAAGCTTCACTCCAATGACGTATATACGTAAGTATATAAAGCAACTAGTTATAATATAAAAAATTTAGAGTTTTAAAGAATTTTTGGAAGGCCATGTAAAAACTGGTAACCTGCCTTAGTCCCATGAAGGTGAAACAGATGCTTGTGAATAAGAAGTAGGAGTTTTTTTCAGAACTTTTAAATTTGAACCCCTTCAAAATATGCAGTTAACTGTTCAAACTATGCAAGCAAATAAATTTTCATCTAAGTTAGACTTTTATAAAATACTCAGATTTCAATTTGCAATTATGTTAGTATATCACAAAAAACCCTACCAAAATAGCCTATGAACAAATGTACTTTTTCTTTATTATTAGCTATACTGTTTACTATAGGTACAGCAGAACCTTACCACTGATGGACTTGAAACTTACGTTACTATTCCACAACAAGTCGGATGGTTCATGACATGAATAATTTATAAGCCTGTCTGGGTGCTTACGGAGGCAAGAATTGTAGGAATTCTAATTCTTCATGCTACTATTAGAAGTAAAGAGGTCTAAGCAGGAGATAGTTCTATTTAAGGAAAAATGAGTTTTGAAAACATTTAAGAATAACATAATCAGTTGTGGTTTCATACTGTATTTGAGGGAGAAAAATTATTTCTATAGTGCTACCCATGAATTTGGGGACTGACAGAGGTCTCAAGATTTATCTCTTGCATCACTTCTCTCTTCCACCAAAGCGAGCAGCATTTCTCACCGGCTGCAGGTGCATATTTAGCTCCTACACAATATGACAGGAGGTTCCTAACAGACTCAGGAAAGCGCAGGAAAGTGTTTTTGAACCTTAAATGCAGCATATTTTATTCCGGGAAAAAGTTATGCTAAGGCGTTGGTTTTCTCAAAGGGGCTTTGTCATCCAATATGAGACTTCACAAAGTTGGATCTCGCTAGTACTATGAATCTAGCCAATAAGTTACAAACCCCATAATCACATTACACATCCTTGCAATACTTAATACCACTCTTGGGTTGGCAGTGTAGCTCAGTGATATAGCCCTTGCCTAGCATGCATGAGGCCCTCCCTAGTTTTATTCTCAGCACCACAAAGTAAACAAAAGAAAACAAAATACTACTTTTTTTGACAAATAGGTCTATAAATATTACATGAGTTGGTATACTTACCAATTATAGTGACTCTAAAAAAATAAGTATAAATCATTCATTAATAAGAACTTGTTTGTTGCATCATAAACTTGACCTCAAATGCATTAACTAGCTATAATAAACATCACCATTTTTGGTGGCAGTTTTAAAATTATTTAAAAAGTCCTTAAAAAAGGACTCTTAGGCAATGATTTCGATAAATCAGATCTCATAAAAAAGCTATCTTGGGGGGATTATGAACTGACATTTTAGTACCTTTCTTGCAGAAAGTGGAGACAGCGAACATTTCTGAGACCTTATAAGGGTAAGCTGAGATCATGCTTTTCAAAGTCACCCTGCACTTAACCACTTTTGCCACTAGATGGTAAATATGCACAAATGAACCACTAAAATGAATGGTTACTAAGTAGAGGAAGACTGCACCAATAGGTCTAAAATAAGAAAAAAGAGATGCAAAACATACCACCAAATATTACTGAAACAAATACCCTTGGATTTACCTTGATATGTTAAATTTAAAGGAGGCAATGCATATAATAAAAAATTTAAGGCCTGTCACCACCTCCATAGGAAAATTACAGATACTTTTTTCCTGCACTGGTACAGACACATGGCATAGTCACTAAAAATACAATCATTTTGCTTTTAGTAATTAGTAGGAGATTTAAAGAACTTTCCATTTGGAGGAGTCATATTTTCTAGTTTTGACATGTTATAAATAGCTATAAAGCACAATATAAAAAACAAAGCATAAAATTACTACTTCTGTATTTATTCAGTTGTGCTGGTGTTTTTTTTTTTTGGTACCGGGGATCGAACTCGGGTCCTTGCGGTTGCGAAGCAGGAGGCAGAACCACTGAGCTAAATCCCCAGTCCTTGTGCTGTTGTTTTAAAATTTATTTTTATTTTTTTAAATTAATTTTTGGAGACAGGATCTCACTATGTAGTTCAGGCTGACTCTGAACACACTATGAAGTTTAAGCTGGCCTCAAACTCATGCTGATCCTCCTGCCTCAGCCTCCTGAGTGCTGGGATTACAGGTGTGTGCTAACACACCCAGCTAAAATTTATTTTTAACTGTGGATATCTGAAGTACAGTATATAATTAGATGTCATATACATATACACTACAATGTCATATACATATATACTATAAAATCACTACAATCAAGCTAAGGATCACTTTCCAGTTATCTTTTTTTTGGCGGGAGGTGAGTACTCTTAAGAACCTACCTTCTCAGCAAACTGCAAGTAGAATATTGTTACATATGGCTTACTATGCTAAACATTAGATTTCCTGAACTGACTCATCTTGCAGAACTGAAAGTTTGCATCACTGACCAAAATCTTCTCATTCCTCTTCCCTCTAGATCCTAGTAACAACCACTCTATTGCCTATTTTGGATTTCATATAAAAGTGAGATCACACATGTTTGTCTGTCTGTGTCTGGCTAACGTCATTCAGAAGAAGGTCCTCCAGGTTCATCTATGTCACAGAGCAGAAGAAATGTAAAGAAACTGAAAGTGTAACTAAGGATCAAAATGTATAACAGATGTGAAATAGGAAGAAAAGGTCCACAGGGGAAGGGGTAGGGAAAAGGATAGAAGGGAAAGGAGTAAATACGGAAAAAGGAAAAAATGGAAACAAAGTCTTTGTAAATAGGGAGGGGTGGAGAGGTTGAACAGAGGGCAGGGGAATGGAGAAAAAATAAGAACCAAGATGTATCATGTAAAGATACAAACTCTCAATAATGAATGTCAGCATATTGTATACCTAAAATGTACCAATAAAATTAATGAAAAAGGAAGAAATGTAAAGAAACAGCAATTACTTAGGCTATCTATGTCCTACTTCCAAATGTTAAGAAAAACATATTTACCTGCGTTTACTGGGAATCACTCCAACTTCCTCACTCTCACCATCGGGTGTGACTTGCCTGGCTTGCCACCATTCATCATCAGAAGCATTAATAACATGGAGGATATCTCCAAATTTGAAGTTCAGTCCTTGACTGGGAAGGCCACTGTCTTTAGTCTTGTCATAATCAAAAAGGGCTCTAGACTCAGAAGAAAAAAGTCCACAATTGTTTGTTATAGTAGTATTAATCAATCTGAAATAAAGACAGGATTCTGAAATGATAGATAATTTTTTTTTGGTACTGGGGATCAAACTTGGGACCTTGCGCTTGCGAGGCAGGAGGTGGAAACCACTGAGCTAAATCCCTGGCCTGAAATGGTAGATAACTGAACAATGTACTATGGTAGGCAAATAATACTAAGGACAATTTTGTACTATAATAAGACAGTAAGACAAAAAATAACAAAATTGATGTGTAATGGAAATGGTTTGTTATTTGATACATCACCTATTTCCTATTTCTTTCAATACTATAGGAGGAAAAATTTTTTTTTGAGACAGGGTCTTGCTATGTAGTCTAGGCTGGCCTCAAATTCACAATCCTCCTGCCTCAGCCTCCTGAGTGCTGGGATTTCAGGCATGTGCTATCATATCCAACTTTCCTTTTTTTTTTGGTTTATTTTTTGAGTCAGGGTGAGTTCCAGCTGGCCTTGAACTTGTGGTTAATCTTCTATCTAAGCTGCCTGGGTGCTGGGATTACAGGCATGTATCACTATATCTGGCATTTTCTTTACTTTTTAAATGTGACCTCCAGAAAATTTAAAATGACCATGTGTTTCACAATATGTTGGATCATGCCAACACATGCTTTGGAATCAGACTGCTATAGGCTTGAGTGCTGTGTCCTGACTTACTAAGTTTTACTGTAGTTCTGTATTTGCTTGTTTTGCTTTGGGTAGTTTTTGGTTCTCAGTCTTATCTGTCCAATGGGGCTAATAATACTTGTTGTAGGGTTGTTCTGAGATTAAATCAGATTTGGTAAAGTGTGTAGGATAAATTTTAAAAATGCTTCTGGGTGTGGTGGTGTACACCTGTTGTCCCAGCTACTTTGAAGGCTGAGGCAGGAGGAATTGGTAGTTATGCTTTTCAATGTGTGCCAGCCTGGGCATCACAGAGAGGCTCCATCTCATAATGAAATCAACCAATGCTCTTAGTATAATCCAATGAGAAACACACACACACACACACACACACACATTTTTTGTGGTACTGGAGTACCACTGAGCAACATCTTTGGCCCCTTTTATTTTGTGAGACAATGTCTACTCAGCTGTCCCAGGTGGAAGTTGAATTTGAGATCCTCCTGCCTCAGCCACACAAAGTGCTGGGATTACAGGCATATACCACCACACCCAGGTGACAACCTATATTACTGAATTTCTAAAATGAAGGCAAATCTAGAGAGTTGCTCTAAAATAACAGAGCAAACATTAAGAGATATTCTTAGCTAGGCACAGTGGTGCATGCCTATAATCTTGGTTACTGTGGAGGCTGAGGCAAGAAGGGCACAAATTCCAGCCAGCCTGGGCAACTTATCCAAGACTTTGTCTCAAAACAAGAGTAAGAGAGATACAGATACAGCTCAGGGTTCCCTGGGTTCAATCTCTAGTATGAGGAAAAAAATTCTTTTTATTTTGACCAAACACTTAGAAAAACAAACTCCCTGGTAGATTTGTTTTATTAGTTGTGGATGGTAAGGCTAGACTGACATAATGATTATTGCTTCAGTTAATTATTTCTTCCATTTGTTCACAAGACTAGAATTAACAGGATTTCCAGAGTCAATATCAAAAATGAAAACTACAGATGACTTTATCAGCTGCCCAAATATTTAGGAAGAGTACTTTATTAATTTGGCATTTGTAAAATGTTAGTATTTTAAAATCTGGTAAAAAGAAAATATTGTGTCCTATCATTTAATTAGTGAACAATATTTTAAAAAATTAAATTTCTGAGTTGAAATAAGCTCTCTCAAGAGTACAGCAAATGCCAGGCGTGGTAGCTCATGCCTGTAATCCCAGCACTCAGGAGGCTGAGAGTTCGAGGCCAGCCTGGGCTACATAGTGAGTTCAAGGACAGCCTGAATTGCATAGTGAGATCCTGTTTCAAAAGACAAGAAAAAGCCAGGGATTTAGCTTAGTGGCTCCACTGACTGCCTAGCAAGCACAAGGTCCAGAGTTCGATCCCTGGAGTACAGCAAGGGCTGAGCACAGCTCAGTGGTAGTGTCTGCCTAGCATGCACAAGGCCCTGGGTTTTATTCCAAGCTCCACAAATAAATGACAGGAAAGGATTCCAGCAATTACCTTTTTAATACAATTTATTCATTCTTTTATTATAATATGGCAGTTGGAAATTAGTATATAAATCACATTCTTTTCTTTTCTTTTTGCAGCACTGGAGATTGGCCTTTGCACTGACCTACATTCCCAGCCTTTCTTATTTTTATTTTTAGATAGGCTCTCTCACTAATTCACTAAGTTGTTCAGCTAGGCTCAAACTTGGGACCCTCCTGTTTCAGCCTCCCAGAGTGAGGGATTACAAGCGCGTGTCACCCTGCCTGGCTAATATCTATTTGAGTTACAAAAAATCTCCACGGAATACATGAGTTACTGATTATAAGAGTGCAATGAACACTGGTCAACCCTCCATCCAACCTGCTACGATTACACACAAAACATTCATCAGTAATTCAAGTTTCATTTATGTATTTTCCCCTGATTCTGCTCCCCTTGGACCAAGTGTTAGCCACTAACAGGAGGTAACCATATTTTTAAATAGTGCATATTATTTTGACCTTCTTCCTTTTTTTGTTGGTTTGGTTTTATCACATACATGTGATGACTTAAGCAACATGATAATTTAACTTGTTTCAGAGCTTTCTAAAAAGGTATTACACTATAGGTAGCCTTTTGTGGCCTTTTTTTGGTTTGTTTTGCTTTTGACTTTTGAAATTAAAGAACTGTAAGATTTCTGGTTAACTATGGCAGACTGGCTACATGTTTCTATTTCCTTTCCATCCTGAAACTCATTAAAATGACAATAAAAATGAAACATTAAAAAAAAGAAACATAAAAGAGAAGACAACAAGAGAAAAGAGATTTTAACATATTTTCAGATGATGACAAGTAAACTTGGCAGACTGAGGGAAGCTGTCACTAGGCTGTCTTAAGAAAATGATACCGAAGCCAGACACGACGGTGCATTCTGTAATTTCAGCCACTTGGGAGCCTGAGGCAGGAGGATTGCAAGTTCTTTTTTTTCTTTTTGGTACCGGCAATTGAACTCAGGACCTTCCACTTGCCAGGTAGGCGTGGTGCCACTAAGCTAAATCCCTGGCCCTAGGATTGCAAGTTCTAAACCAGCACAGACAATTTAGTGAGACACTGTCTTAAAATACAAAAATAAAATGGCCTGGGGATATAACTCAATGCAAGGCTCTGGGTTCAACCCAGTACAATTAAAAAAACAAAAACAAAAACAGCACAAAAGCAAGAAAGGGGCATTGAAACAAGGTTTATTTCACAAGATCTCTAAAGATGCCCAGGCGTTACAGGTGTACAGTACCAAGGTAGACAGGGATAAGTTATAGTATCAAAAACAGAAGGTGGAAGCACCGTGGAACTCGGTGGTGGTGGCATGCACTGGGGGAGATAGGAATGTGCAAGACAGAAGACAAATAAATGAAAAGAAAATCCATGTGCTGAAAATGTAAATTCTAGCAACCTAGCTTATACTGCAGGATGATTAAAGTTTCCTTCTATAGTTACTGAATGACACCAAAGAAAGGAATACCCTGAGGCAGGAGGGAAGATGAGTGAGCCAATTTATCCCTTTCACCTGTTAGCTTCTAGTTAAATCTACTAGCTTCTGTTCATAAGAATAGAAAACAAGAGGGCTGGGAATTTAGCTCAGCGGCACAGTGCCTGTCTGGCAACCATGAGGTCCTGAGTTCAATCCCCAGTACAAAAACAAACAAAAAAACAAACAAATAATCCCCAAGAAAACAAGGATCTCTAAATATTTAAAATTCACATATCCAAATTAAAGAAAATAAGCTAACTAGAAAAAAAAGGAACACAGAGAATGCAGAGAATACTGGAAACAGAACACTTCAGAGAAATATGAGATATTACGTCCATGAAATAAAAAGGAGATGACAAAAAAGGAACAATAATGTAAGGAGGAGCTGTTGGAAAGTAATGTAAGGTACCATCCCTCCCCTTAAATCTCAAATTCTCCACTGAGGAGAAAGCAGAATAAAGTCATTTTCAGATATGCTCAGATACAAAACAGTACCTACCACCTATTCTTTTCTCAGGAATTTACTAAAGGATGGCCTCTGGTAAGATAAAAGCAAACCAAGAAAGAAGAAGTGTTACGTCTAGAAAATATTCTGATACCATAGATAGCAATGTGAGGAAGAGAAGGAGGAGGGAAATGGGTCCCTGGGAGCCAGTAAGGATCTGAAGGAAGAATTAAAGCCCACAGGGAGAATGAGGAGAGAGACTTTAATAAGAAGGAGATGACAACTGGTGCTTTCTCCCTGATCCCTGACACTGTGTGGGAAGGGTGGCTTGAACCTGCAGACATACGGTGACTACCGACAACCCCAGAAGCCTCCATAGAGAAATGTACCAGTGAATGAAGCAGACTGCAGTGCCTGGTGAGTTATTCAGGTTCAGATGTCCCGCAGGAGAGGGCGACTAGCTAGTAGCTATCTTGGAGAGAGACTAACTGAGCTCAGAACTCAGAGCAGCTGTGGAATGGCTCCATCAGGGTGAGACAGAACCAAGTTCAAGTTGGCAGGAGGTCAAGGAGCCAAGTTCAAGCCAGCAGGAGGTGCATAGATTGTTGCAGGCTGAAGAAACTGAGTTCTAGCCCCACAGCCAGAAATGAGCCTGAGCTTCAGAACTAAAGGTGCAAGCTGGCTGGGATTATCTACTACCCCGCCATAAATCTACGGCTGGCTTGTTGGGATTAATCAACATGGATCTGGACTTTGCCCACTCTGTCTATGAGTGACAGCAGAGTCACGCCTTAAAGTGGACATTTTTTCTTATTTTTCTTGTTTTTGTTTTGCCCTTTTTCTTGTCTTTGTTTGTATATAAATGTGAACATTGTTTCTAGTTCTGTTGTTG